TTGAAGCCGTAGTGGGAGAATGCTCCATGGGCCAGGTGTAGAATAGTGGGCCGCAGGCTGGTGGGAATCACAAGTTGTTCGGTGTTGGCCCAATCGTCCTCCTCCTTCAGTTTACTGGGTCTATATCTGCGGTAGAGCAAGTCGTTCTCTAGGAAGAACCCAGGAATACTGTCGGGTTGAGTCTCAGCCTGGAAAAACAATGGTGTTAAAGTAAGATCTTCCCTCTGCAACTTACGGAACTCCAACTTGGTCAGATGCGGGGGTAGTTTCTGAGGGTCTTGAGGGACAGCGGTAGCAGTAGAGTCAGCTGGCTGTGGACGTGCGGCTTGTGCACGGGTGGTCACGAGAACCGGAGGAGAAACTTCATCACTCTCTTGAACCTCTGCTGGAACATACTCAAGAATAGGGTTACTTGGCACAGAGTTACACACCTGGGGTTTGTCCATGACGATCAGGTTGGTCGGTTGCAGGTCTTCTGCCAAGTCGTTGCCTAGGAGAAGTTGCACTCCAGGCATGGGAAAAGGCTTTTCCCTGACGGCGACTTGGACTTCCCCGTTCACGTAGGGACAATCCAGGTGGACTCTGGCGAGAGGGTATGGAGTGGTAGCAGTGAGGTCAGTGATGAAGACTGTTTCCCCGGTGTAGACTATGTTGGGCACAGCCGACTTCAAGATGATCGATTGTAGAGCCGCTGTGTCCCTCAAGATCTTCAATTTGAAACGTCCCTCCGGATTTGAACCGTTGGCAGAGACAGTTCCAGTATACAGGTGGTTACTGAAAAGAGAAAGATCATTAACATCAACACCAACATTCATCACAGGCTTACCGGACTTAGGAGGAGTTGGTTTGGGTCGTTGTTGGTCAGTGGTTCCCTTGTATTGAGACTTACCACACTTGTCTATGGTATGTCCATAGAGTCTACAATACTTGCAGTACAGTTGTGAACCAGCTTGATCGGGGCTCACCTTCTCGTAACTGTACCACGACTTCTTACTGGAGGATGGTTCAGGTGTCAGCCGGTGGATGAGGCTGTAAGTGTCAGCCGACTTAGCACACTTCAGGTAGTCGGTTTCTTCTTTATCTGCTAAGTAGAGGCGGACAGGAGGCGGCACACGTCTCAAGAATTCTTCAACAAGCATCAGGTTGACGAGTTCTGTAAAAGTAGAGACATGTGCTGCTTCCAGCCATTTCATGAAATACCTCCGTTTCGTGTTAGCAAACTCGAGGAAGGTAGTGGTACTTGCCTTCAGGTGGTCACGGAATTTCCTTCTATAACTTTCAGTAGAGAGGAGGTAGGCGTCCAACACTGCTTGTTTCAGAGTGTAGTAGTCATTCTCAGACGCCAAAGTACTGAGTGTGACTGCAGCTCTACCTGTAAGATGGACTCTGAGAAGTGTTGCCCATTGGTCGACAGGCCAACTGAGTTGATTAGCAAGGGTTTCAAAGGTGGTGAAAAACACATCAACTTCTGCTTCTACAAAGGATGGCATTAACTTACTTGCATGTGATATATTAAAACTGACGGGAAGATTGGCAGTAGCTTGTTGGCGTTGAGTGAAGTGTGAAGTTTCCAAGGCGATTTCACGTTGACGACACTCTAGAGCCAGAGTTGCTTGTTGCTTGTCATGTTCGCGTTGTATTTCCAACTCGCGTTGTTTGGTTTCAAGCTGTAAGCGTTCCCGCTCCTGGAGTGTTTCAAGCTGTACTCGTTCACGTTCACGGAGTAATGCGACCTCACGTTCGTGTTCTTCTCTCCTCAAAGCAGCTTCGCGTTCTTGTTCGTCTCTCCTCAAAGCAGCTTCGCGTTCTTGTTCGTCTCTCCGTATGGCAGCAGCTCGTTCTTGTTGTTCGAGGGCTTCCCTTTGCTGCTCACGTTCAATCTTGGCCAGCTCTAGTTTGAGTTTCAGCGTTGCCAAATCAGTTTTATCTGCAATATAGTAAGTTTCATGAGTTTCAGAGTCTATCTTACCTTGCTCTAAATAGTAATCCAGCAACAGGTTGTGTAGGTCATTTTTGTTGGCTTGGTAGGGAACTTCTAGTTGATACTCATGTGCAAGAGTTTGTAGTTCAGTCCTCTTGGCACGACTTAAAGTCCCTATTTCACCTGCTGGATTTGCACGGAAAGTTTGGAGACGAAACATGGTGAAATTAGCAAATAAAGGTACACGAATGTTCAATAATGAAATGTCAGAAACAGGACAACGTGGCAACTGGTACCTATCCTGTGTGATCTTTAACAATTAACGTTAAGTGAAAGATATTAAATTAAATCAAGGGCGCAGGAAATCTTGTACCCGGTACTCATGTAAGAGAATAAGGGCAAGAAAATCCTACTAACAAATGAAACAAAGTTTCGAAAACAAATGAAACAGTTAAATGCTTCAAAAGTAAAATTGGTAGTCCAAGGATGTAGGCATACCTTGCCAAGTCTCTATAGGACATAAAGCAAGTTTTTCCCACTGAATTTAATATGATACTTACAGAATTAGCGAACTTTTGTGCTCTGAAAAAATAAGCTAATTCCCTACCGTTGTATGTATCATCATCTCTGACTGACGTGTAGGGGTGCGAGGTGTCAACTGGTGACGAGAACTGCTGCTGAGGTCCCAATTCAGCAACTAAAGTTCGAGCTAGAGGAACTATGGCCCTCTTTGTCCTCCTACAGTCAGATTGCAGAAGATTGGGTACTCTTGACCCGGGGCAGACCACAGTACCAGGGTACCAATATGATGATCTGTCAGAATGAGAAATATTCAAGGGACATAGATGGTAAATACGAGTAATAACAAGGAGGGAGAGATGACCAATTAAGAGTATGACTGCGGCCTACAGTCACCACGTAATCCAAAGTTGTCTCACCTTCACTATATGTTACTCTCGTAATGCACAATACACCGCACCTTATAAAAAATGAAATTGAATGAAAAATAGTAAAGCTACGTTAACAAAGTTAAATACGCTTACCATAAATTACCACTTGGCACCAGTACCTGAGTGAAGCTCCCGGACAGGCCCCCATATAACTTGTGACGGTAACGCGTTGGTGTTCGGCTGTTTAAGGCTAGGGGTATGGCCTCGTCACATAGTTATAAAAAAAAATAGAAAAACTGGAACTTCGTCTGTGGTAAGGTAAGGAGAAGACACACAAAACACAAGTAAAACTTTAACAATGAAATTTTAATTACGTTAAATAAATCAAAACATGAAAATAATGCACAAACAAATTCTTATAATAAAATCAATGAATCAAAATAATAAGAATACTTAAATGACACAATGAAAGTTACGTTAAGGCAAAATAATAAGAAGTGCAACACAAAAGTTAAGTGGGAGGTGCTGGAATATTGGCTTAAAGCCACCACCTCTCTCAGTACACGCTAACGTCTAGCTGGGAGGAGTGCTGGCTACGAAAGCACGGAACATTCTGAGGACTGATGTTGGGGCGACCCCAGACATCAGGTAGTATTGGGGGGGGCGAGGCAGGTGCAGCCAGACCGGCGACCAATCAGCGGAGTCGTAGCGATCAACGGGTAGTTTGGTGGTTGGAGTTCGAACAGGTGGCTGGTTGCATACGTTTCTGCTCACCCTGGCAAGCCTTGCTGGTGTTTGTTGTCGTTGTTGGACATTTCTTCCATAGTCTTTTATATAGTTGTGAAGACGTAATTATGAAGGGAAGAGCAGGCTCAATCTCTTGAAGGAGATTATTGTCACAATATATATATATATATATATATATATATATATATGTCGTACCTAGTAGCCAGAACGCACTTCTCAGCCTACTATGCAAGGCCCAATTTGCCTAATAAGCCAAGTTTTCATGAATTAATATATTTTCTCTAATTTTTTTCTTATGAAATAATAAAGCTACCCATTTCATTATGTATAAGGTCAATTTTTTGTTATTGGAGTTAAAATTAACGTAGATATATGACCAAACCTAACCAACCCTACCTAACCTAACCTAACCTATCTCTATAGGTTAGGTTAGGTTAGGTAGCCGAAAAAGTTAGGTTAGGTAAGTTAGGTAGTCGAAAAACAATTAATTCATGAAAACTTGGCTTATTAGGCAAATTGGGCCTTGCATAGTAGGACTAGAAGTGCATTCTGGCTACTAGGTACGACATATATATATATATATATATATATATATATATATATATATATATATATATATATATATATATATATATATATATATATATATATATATATATATATATATATATATATATATATATATGTCGTACCTAATAGCCAGAACGCACTTCTCAGCCTACTATTCAAGGCCCGATTTGCCTAATAAGCCAAGTTTTCATGAATTAATGTTTTTTCGTCTACCTAACCTACCTAACCTAACCTAACCTAGCTTTTTTTGGCTACCTAACCTAACCTTACCTATAAATATAGGTTAGGTTAGGTTAGGTAGGGTTGGTTAGGTTCGGTCATATATCTACGTTAATTTTAACTCCAATAAAAAAAAATTGACCTCATACATAGAGAAAAGGGTTGCTTTATCATTTCATAAGAAAAAAATTATAAAAATATATTAATTCAGGAAAACTTGGCTTATTAGGCAAATCGGGCCTTGAATAGTAGGCTGAGAAGTGAGTTCTGGCTACTAGGTACGACATATATATATATATATATATATATATATATATATATATATATATATATATATATATATATATATATATATATATATATATATATATATATATATATATATATATATATATATATATATATATATATATATATATATATATATATATATATATATATATATATATATATATATATATATATATATATATATATATATATATATATATATAAAACTATATATGTTATATAGTTATATATAACTATATAACATAACTATATAACTATATAGTTCGCATATATATATATATATATATATATATATATATATACTGTATATATAATAATATATATATAATATTTTATTTATTTATTTATTCTTTTTCTTGTAGAAGCTGATGAAGTTGACACTGAAACTGAAGGTAGTGACAGAAAACCAGATGTTATAGTAAAGGAAGAAAATGTTGAAATCAAAACAGAAGTTTTTGCAACCTCTATAGAGTTTGATCCCCCAGACGAGGACGTCACACCAACTGATCATACTCCAGCTGACCTTTCTCCCGTTCATCTCCCATCTACTACTGACATGTCTCATACAGAATATCCATTAAATACAGACTTGAGTGAAAAGCCTTCTATTACTGATGGGGAAAATACCAACAGTTCAGAAGCAACAAACAATAGTGAGGGTGGAGAGAGACTAAGAGGTGGCAGACGGAATGTTGCACGTAGAGGTCGTCGGCGCAGTTCTGCAGCAGGTGGAGGCAGTCCAAACTCTCGTGGTATGTTACTACTTACATTTTGTATTGTGCACTTAGCCTTATATGAGCTAAATATTGTAACTCGGTGATAATTATATTGAAAGGAATGTAAGAAGGTGTAGTTCTCACTGGCTGGTAATTATCTGCTTGGCACCTTTAATTACGGCAATATTTATTAATTATAAGTACATTTAATTTAAGATTTTTAAAAATATAACCAAAAATCCATCAATTTAAAGGAATCTGATGTTCTCTGCAAACTTTCTTCCCTGTCAACAGCACTTCTCAATCCTTTATTGGTTTGTGTAATGCCACACATCAGCTTAGCATTCTTATTAAGGCACTCATTGTATTTATTCCACATGCCATTGAGAGTAACTTTTGCATCAAGATCACCATCTACTTTCCTCTTGTATTCATTGCCCAGCTCTTATTTTTTCCACATTTATTGTCACTTGTGTACCTTACACAAGTGACAATAAATATGTATTCAATAAATGGCACTGTCATCCACTTACCATTTAATGTTCTTACACTTATTCGACCAGGTAACTCCATTTAGTTACTTGAATGTTCTTGTATCCTCGGTCATATAATTGTGTGTGTATGCTTGAGCATACATGTATTAATGTAATGTAATGTGTATGTGACAGTTTCATTCTATTACTCTTATTCTTCAGTTGCATGGCAGTCACACCTCTATCGCACACCTCTTTGGTAAAGATCAGCCAGGGTACTCGTGCTTCATCCTTGGCATCACACCCTTTGCAGTTTTTCAGCTCATTGCAGAAAATATCCACATGTATACTCTTTCTCACACCAAGATGTATAACACCGGGTGTATAATTATACACCAGGCTCTTCTTCAGTCAGCATGCATATTTCTGCTTTACTGCTCTTGGTTTTGTTCTTGCATGTATAATCTTTAAACCATTCTTTTAGTTATATGCTGTCTCATTCATTCATCTTCATGTCACTTAGCTCAAATAGGTCTACATTTAACTTTAAAGCTAAACATGAATTTTGTCACTTATTTCATTTATCCTCACATTTCATGCATCTTGTATTATGGAGTTAAAGGTTTATTGATTGCATCCCACTTGTGTGCTATGTAACTATGCCAATTCTCCTTGACCCAACAGTGCCAATTTTTTAACTTTTATGATTCGAGTAGAATTGCTACAGTTGTCAGGAAAATTGGCATTGTTGGGTCAAGGAGAATAGTACAACTATGTAACTATGGATAACTAATATAACTATAACTTTGTATTGTCCCGGGATAATGTTATTTTATAATTGTTCATGCCTTAAAAGTATAGAAGATAGTTTTTATATTCCTCAAACTATGCTTTGACATTTTCCTTAGGTTGGTTATGGAAGATGTCTTCAAGGTTACTTGAAGGCTGCGGACACTTTGTCTCTTCGAATCTTGTTTTTCCATTTGTTGTATCATTCACACTTCTGTATATAGCACCAGGATTGTGGGGTTGTGATAGTTTGCTTGTGATCCTGTACAACAGTGTGATTAACCACCGTGCTACGCGGAGAGCCTTGAGGCGCTCTGAGAGTTGTGGTATTGTTTGTTAATTAGGCTATATTTTAATCTTTTTTTTAATGTTTTCATCATTCTTTGTGTTTTGTAGTGAAAATGGCTGAGTTTTGAAACATTTTGACATTAACTTTACCTGAACATTTATTAAAACAACAAAAATTGGTCCCTATGGCACTAAAATTGGCACTATGTGAAGTTTGTGTTGAAGCCAGGTGCACAGTGCGGTGGTTAATAACAAGTATGGATGAGTAAGTGATACAGTATTTATAATTTTTCTTTATTAAATTTTGTTTAACTTATTCCTTTTTTTATTTGTTCTCGGGGATATTACCTCTCTGGTCCTCATCCTATTACAGTGGAAAATGGGGTCGTGTATATATGAATGAATGAGTGTAAAGTTATGATCTTGCTGCTGTCACAGTTACAACTAATGTTGATGGGGGGGGGCAGGGGATATACTTTACAAACAGCTGAAAGGTAAGTGGATGTAAGACCAATTGGCAGTGTGTCCTTTTGGTATTTTAAATAGGCAGAATTCACTCAATCCCTTAATATTTCATTTTTTACCATTTTGCTTTGCATATTCTTGATTATTGTGAATAGGGATAGAGGCTGATCTGATTTTTTCCAATGAGGTCAACAGTATGAAATGAATGTGCTTGTACCACTGTTTCTCACGGCTGCTTCTGGCCTTCCATTCTTTTTTTCTTTATCTTTTGTTCCATCTCTCACTTTATCTGGACCAACGAAAGTTATTTTAATAAAGTCTAATGCATTACAAGGAATGAATGCAGGCAATTTTTTTATAATAATCTAAGTTGATTGGGTTCACTTACAGAAGGAGCCCCACAAAGAGAAAATTTACGAAGAACATCGCGTAATGTTCAGCGTTATGGTCACATCGATGCAGAATCGGATGGATTGGCCGACTCTGATCCAGATTATCACTTAAGTGACTCGGACGATGACCCAGATTTTAATCCTATCAACAAAAAGGTATTTCTTCTGAAGTAATGTGTGCTGATGTAACCTGTGATATAAGGTTGTATGATACAAAATAAAAAGTTCTTGAGAACAGTGATAAATTGCAAACAAAATTTTTGTGGTAGATTCATAATTTCTTGGTACAGTATTTAACATTTTGCAAACCTTGTTGCCATGGCTTTTAGCTTTCTAATCTAATTTTTTTTTTTAAATTGTTATCATACGCAGCTATTGTTGCGTAAGATAATTTACGCAGTGCCTTACCCTTTTTTATCTTTTAAATTATAAATTGTATTAAAGAAAGAAAATTTTCAGCCTGTTCCATTAAGTGACGAAGAAGAATTTCGGCCTCGTAGAGGACGTGGACGAGGAAGAGGATCAGGGGGACATAGAGGTGAGCTGCAATTCCATGTTCTTTTTAGAGGTCTATACAGTCATAATAATGTACCCAATAAATTTTGGCTGAATGGAAGCTTTGCTGATCCTTATTTTTTACCATTTTATTTACTTCAGAATTGTGTTTCACTGTTGCCATTATCTTAAGATAGGCCTGTAAAGTTCTGATGATTTATTTTATGATTTGAGTAGAATTGGCACAGTTGTCAGGAGAATTGGCACAGTTGTCATGGGAATTGGCACAGTTGTCAGGAGAATTGGCACAGTTGTCAGGAGAATTGGCACAGTTGTCAGGAGAATTGGCACAGTTGTCAGGAGAATTGGCACAGTTGTTATAAGAATTGGCACATTTGTGTCAGGATAATTGGCACATTTGTGTCAGGATAATTGGCACATTTGTGTCAGGATAATTGGCACAATTGTCAGGATAATTGGCACTGTTGTGTCAGGAGAATTGGCACAGTTGTATCAGGAGAATTACCACAGTTGTTGGAAGAATTGGCACATTTGTGTCAGGATAATTGGCACATTTGTGTCAGGATAATTGGCACTTGTCAGGATAATTGACACTGATGTGTCAGGAGAATTGGCACGGTTGTGTCAAGAGAATTGGCACTGTTGTGTCAGGAGAATTGGCACAGTTGTGTCAGGATAATTGGCACAGTTGTCAGGAAATCAGACTATTGGATCTTGAAAATAGCTACTGTAGGATTGAGAATTGTCACGAGCAGGTGTCCCAGTGCTGTCTCTGGGCTAACACTACCCTAACACCCTGGTATGGTGCACCTGGTATGGTGCACCTTAACACCATACCTGGTGTTAGGGTGATTGTGTCTAGTGTCTTAAAACCTTGGGAAACACTTGATCAGCTGATGCTGTAGAGAGAGCCATTTCTCAGCGTTTGAACTGTTAGATGAACTTTTTTACTTTAACATGCAAGTGGGTACCAGAACAGAGTTCTGACTCCTGTTAGCAAGCCGAGAGCTTTCTCTTAAGCTGGTAAGCCTTACTCACAGATTTTCCCTGGAACATGACCTGCCATTGTCAACATTGTGTAACTGGTTAACAACCAGTTACGTAATTTCAGTGGCAGTTGAGGCTTGGTGCATAATCGGTTATCCTTGTCCAAGATATGATCTTAGATTAAATCGCTTCCCTGGAAGATCGATGAAATCGCAGTGGTAACACATTCGCCCCGGGCTTCGCAAGTGGTTTGTCCTGGGTATGCATCTTGGCCGGGAAGGATTGACTAGGCACCAATCCTTAACTGTACACCTCTGTTCACCCAGCAGTGAATGGCTACCTGGTTGTTAACTTATTTGGCGAATCATATTCCAGGGAAAGTTAAGATTAAGGACCTGTCCAAAATGCTGTGCATGGTAGTGGCTTTACAAGAATGTATGTATATGCATGGTGGTATACAGTGTTACTGCCACTCTTACTGCCAACTGATCAAAACACACAAATAAAGTGGATAATTTGGATTGGAATTTGTTTTGTAGTGCACTGGCTTAAAACACTGGTATGCAGTGTGAATAAATGTTTAATTTTTTTCATAACTGTTTGTTTAGTAGTGTAGTTTTAATACATAATATTGCTCAAAGCTTATGAAAGTAGCTGCTTTCTATTGGTTAGTGAATTTTAATTCCTTCATTAACAAACTGTTCTTGCATGTTGATAAAATAAAATAAGTTTTGAATGTTCATGGAATGAACAATGCTTGCATTGAGAAGATTTTATTTATTATTTTGATCTTTTGATAAAATGCATGTTGGCTTTATTTATTAATTTACTTATAATTTTATGGCTTTTCTGTATGTTTTTTTTTTTTTTTTGAAAATAACTGATTTTGATTTTGCCTTTTTCCTAAGGCGTATTCATTTCTCCAGGTCGGGGTGGTTCTGGTAGAGGTGGAGTCAAGCGGACCTTAGATAGCAATTCCAGCAAAGATGACTCTTCTAATAATGCTGACAAACTCTTGTCCACCTCTGGTGGCACCCCACCTGCTCCTAAGAGGCGTGGTCGGCCCCCATCATATCAGGCATCAACAGTAGTCAGTGCCAGTGGCGGTGGCAGTGGTGGAAGCGTTGGCAGTGGCGTTGGCGATGGTGGTGGCGTCAGCAGTGGTGTTAGCGGAAGCGTCGGTGGTGGCGAGGGTGGTAGTGATGGTGGGGGAGACAACACAGTTTCAAGTGTAAGTTGGCAAGGTTTTTATCAGCATGTTGTAAAAGTGTTGGTAATATGAGGATCTGTTGGCTCAAGATTGGAGATGTTTAATTTGGAACAATTTCCTCAACTGATTGATTAAATTCACGTGCTCATAGACGGATGATAAGAAATCATCATCCAAGCTGAGCTCTGCGTACAACTATGCCGGTGGTCGAGTCCAGCGCCAAGTCCAGGCAATCCGGCTGCCAGAGGGGCCTCAGCTTACAGCTGAACAGCTTGAAATGGTTGAATCTCAGTTCAAGGTTAGTGACAGAGACAAAATGTAGAGTACAGTTAAACAAGGTAAGTACATGACCTTCCAATTAAGTCACACAGCTGACTTCCAGCTGAGCCTTACGCTATTGCCATGGACGCATGTAATAACTTGACTGAGTAAGTCATTCTCAGACTAATTGAAATAAATTCCCCACAAATAAAATTTAATTTGAAATTCCTGAAACTCAAATGAGACATACCTGTAAAGTTATCGTTAATAAAACTCATCTCTAGCCAAAAGTTCATATTACGACTTGCATGCTCGTATAAATAATGAAATCATGTTTATATTTATTGGCGGTCATGTTTATGTAGTTTTTATATAGTACAGTATGCCAAGTTCTACTGTGCATGGGGTTTAAAATGATGCTTTATATTTACTTTTTTAGATAATTGCTTGTAGTAATTGTGTGCTGATAAGGAAACACAGCTTGATGGTTATCAATGAATTTAAATATTTTCTTTTAAATATTTATATTTTTCAAGATTGTCTGAAGATCTAGTGCCATATACATAGAGATTATTTTGTGCCAAACCTAAAGAATTATTGAAACTTTGCTTGTAACAATTTAATAAGTGTTGTACCATAATCAATCATTACTAACATTCCTGGGTACTTCTTTGATCTGCTTAGCTCCACTTAGGGTAATCCTAAAGGGTCAGTCTTTTTCCCTTTTTTGTTCCTACCAATTCTTCTATAGTCAAGAGACATTATCTCTAGTTGTAAGACATCCCACTAGTCCAAATTTATCTATTACAGAAGTAAAAGTAGTAGATAAAATTGTTGGGCTAGTAGAAGGCTTTACAACTAAAGATAATGTCTGATTGCAAAAGAATTGGTAGGTATGAAACGGGAAACAATTAACCATTTAGGATTACCCTAAATGGGGCTAAACAGTTGGAAGAAGTTCTCAGAAATGTTAGGAAATTGCAAGGTGATGAGGATGGGAAATTATGGTCATTAATTATGGTCTATAAGGAAGACAGAGAAACTGAAACTGCAACTCATTGAAGCAAAACACTTAAATAAGAGTACGAATGAGGAAGAAATAATTTTTTTTCTACTAGGTGATAGATTGGTGGGAAGTGTGAAATAGTACAGAAAACAAGTCAACATCATCATTAGGGGAAAGGAGGAGTAAAGGACAATGGGAGAAGGAATATATTTCTGAAAATCATATGTACTAACATAGATGGGGTGAAAACAAAAAATACTGGAGCTAAATGATATAATACATGGATGCCAGATATTGTTGCACTAAAGGGGAGGAAACTTGAAGATAATATTTTAAATGAGGCATATTCTCGAGGGGCTACTCAATTTGGAGACATGACAGACAAGTTAGGAAAGGTAGAGACGCTGTCATCATAAATGCCTACAGTCCATCAGCAAGCAACACATGGACAAAGAAAGAGTTGGATGAGAAACGAGAGGGCTTTATAATGATCACAAGAGAGATTATAAAGAGAGATTATAATAAAAACAGGTAAAGATAATTTATGATTGTGGTACTTGATGACTTCAACATGAAATTAATAGACTGGGTGGCATATTAAGCAAGAATGGAGGACATTTGTCCTGGCATATTTGTAAACCTCTTTCTACAGACATTTATGTATCAACACATTAAGCAGGTCATGAGAATGAGAGAAGGGGATGTCCCAATCAATGTTGGATTTAATATTCACCAGGAAAGAAGAGGACATTTTTGACATCCAGTACCTTCCTTACATGGAAAGAGTGACCATGTCCTCATGGAAATTAAAAATGCAATGTGATATAATTTAGAAGAGAATGCAGAAATTGTAACAGTTGATAAACTTGATTTCAGGAGAGGACAGTATAGGGACCTAAGCAGATTCTTTAATGAATTTGATTGAAGAGACTTGTTGCTAGGTAAGGAAGTATGCCATATTCTAGGAGATATACAAGGAAGACAATTTTTTTTTTATACCAAAACAGAGATGTAGAACCAGAAAACTGATTGGTTCAACAGAAATTGTGAGAGGGTTGAGAAGAAAAGGCAAGAAATTGGGTTTAATATAGGAAGGGGGGCCTAACCCTGCTTGATACAGGGTTTTGAGAGTTCTTCTAGGCCAGGGTTGACTTGAGAGCTTGGTCCAACAGGCTGTTGCTTGGAGCGGCCCACAGCATAGAGGTGTCTTGAGACAAAGTGAAATTTACTGAAGGGGCTAGGAAGAAATAAAGCTTTTGGACCAGAGTTTCACCTTGGGTGCTGAGGGAATGTGCAACTGAGCTGAGCATCCCACTCCAATGGATATTCCAGACATTTTTGTCCACAGGAATCTTAGCAGATATTTGGAAAAAAAGACAACCATAGTTCCAATCTACTAAAATGGTAGCCAAAAAGAACCTCTAAATTATAGACCTGTATCATTAATTTAACAAGCATGGTAGTCAAAATATTTACTAGAAAAAAGTTAAAACCAAATGGTAGAATATCTAGAGAGTAATGACATAATAACACAGACAGACAGTATGGTTTTCAAACAGGAAGATCATGTGTGTAATAAATTTACTTAGTTTTTATGACGGAGCACTGAGATAACACTGAAAGAGATGGTTGGATTGACAGTGCCTATCTAGACCTAAAAAGGGCTTTTGACAGTACCACACAAGGTGCTGTTTTGGAAAATGGAACATGCTGGAAGGGTGACTGGAGACTTCTGACATGAATGAAAAATTTTCTGTGGCAGAAAGACAAGGGTGGTAATCAGAGGCAATGTATCTGGCCGGAAGGAGTGTTACTAGCAGAGTACCACAGGGCTCAGTTCTTGCACCAGTAATGATGAAAGACAGCCTGGTGGCCTGATGAACCAACGTATTCCAGGATCTGCAGTGAACTGTGCTTGCAGGAAGGTCAGTTATGACAGGATTGAGGAATGAGCTTGATATGTGGGTTGGAAAGCTCAACAAATTTTTGAGATTGAAGACTGTCAAGAGTTCACCAAACTCCTGTAGTAGTTACTTTGTTTGGACATGAACCAACTCTTTTGACTTTAGGCATGAACCCTTTTTTGAACTCTGGGACCTTCCGGCTCACTCGTTGCAATCAATTTGCCCACTTTAAAAGCTTTTAAAGTGTGTAGTTTCACTGTAATATTGAGTGCAAATTTATTCAATCCTAACTGCAAACAAAATGTATTGACTGTTGTCCCAAAGATATTTCCACATATGAATATTAAGGGTTTGTGATTGAAGATGTTGGGGAAGCTATGCAGTGGGAGTTCCATGAAATATCTTTGAGACTAGATCCCTGGTGGAGTAGTGGTAGCACTCTAGCTCCTTTGCCTCAGTGACGACTAACCATGTGATTTTTTTCATACCAGGCCCTTTCACTTTTCTAATGCCCTTGTTCCCCCCACTTTTTTTTATGATCAAGTTCATGTATGGAATATCTTGGGGAAACTGTTCAATTAATAATTTAGAAGATGTGGCTTCTGAACTATTTTTACAACCACATTTCAGGCACTGAATGATGAAAAAAGTAAAAACTTAAAAACGGGAAAATGTGATCTGCAGTCAATTATTTTACCTAATGATGTAGGTTTCTTGGTGGTCCCCATGTTCACTGGCTCATTTCCTGAAAACCAATGAGTGGATCCGATAGTAAAGTGCTCGGTAGCATGGTGTGCAGTACATTTTGCGTGGAATAGTTTTTAATTGATCTGCCGACACTCAAAGATCCTGTGGGACCAGTTGTTGGCCAATTTTCTCTTTTACATAATATATGTTTAGGTGTTTTGTCATTCTACAGCCTAAAGGCTTCATATCTTTCTGATTTTTTTTTTTAAATATGAGACTTTTAACAATAACAAATATTTTTGTATGATTTTTGTAAAATAATGCACACAGGTGTGGAAAAACATTCTAATCTCTTAAGCCAAAACTTTCATCTTTTCTACATTGCCTTTCATATTTTAACATGCTTAACATGTATGGTATTCCTGACATATTGGAGGTTTATTGTTTCAAAATTACACTGTAGGTGCAGGTGGCTAACAATCATCAACCTTTCCCTAATACTGTAAACTATTATTTTAACAAGTTGTTTGTAGGAAACATTGGAAATATAAGGTCACTGAATAATACTGTACATCTACAAGATGATGGTGACACTAAAAAAACATGCACTGTATTTACTAATTTCAGAGTGGTGATTTTGTCATGGCAAAAAAGGATATGGACATGATGGAACATCCGCCAATCTGGAGGATTGATGGAAAATCACTTCTGCAGAAGTTCCAGGCCTTTGAAAAGGATGGCAAGACACTGTACAGGAACATATCAACTGTAAGAATAAAATACTCTTTCATGAAAGCAATGCGTATACAGTACTTGCATAAGTTTTAATAGGGACATTTGAGCATCTTGATAATATAATTAATGTTTGAGTCATTTTAATTTTCTCACATTTAGTGCAGTTCTAAAATTACAATTTAATTAAATGAAAGGTAGGTAAAAAAATTGAACTCGGAACATTCTCAAATTAGTTATGAAGAAATTCATGAAACTGTTTTAATATTAAGTAGGTTGGTTGAGTAGAATGTGACATTCTTACTGATATTGAAAAATCCCAGGTGCAGTGTAGACCTTATTGAAAATAATGTTTTGACTAAAATATTTGATAAGCTTTGAGGCAAAATTATATTTCCAATAAACTCGAATCTCTGCTGTGTTTCTCAACATTGTTGATAATAAAGAAAATATTTACAGAATTATTATCCAAGGAAAAAAAGTGTGATAAGCTATTAGATAAAGAGATGGGTAAAGCATTTGAATTATCTAAATAAACACTATGTTAATTTAAAAAGAAAAAATTAAAAAATATAAGTACAATCATGATAGAAAGACAAATGTAAATTTTTCTTGACTATGGGGCTTGTTATATTTTGCCAAATTAATATGATTGACGAGCGAGGCTCAGTACTTATATTATTAAGTTTACCGTTATTGACATAATTCACCGTTTGAAGAATGTTAAACACCAAGTGGAGTGTTGACCTGAGTTGTAACCCTTCACCCATCCGACAGATACATAAGGCAAGTGCCTATAAAAGGGCAACACAAGGGAAGGGCTGAGGTGAGGTGAACAAAAGAGACTTTTGGTACATCTTCCCACATCTGGACCTGACTTTGACGAGTCCCCCTCTAAAGAATGAACCAAATCATTGTTCCAAGCTTGTACCTCACCTCACTAGATTAGTGAGGTGAAAGTAAAGGAATTATGCATTAAAATTTGTATTAATGAAGTACAGGTTATTTGTATAGCAAGAGGGGCAGCCTCATTGAATTTTCCTTGAATTTTATATTGCTTCACCTCTTGCTTAACTAATACTGTACTTCATAAATGTATTATTAATTAACACTTTCGTTGCCCGATGCCGGTGTATCCATCAAAAAAACAAAAGTACGGAGTGAGCGGCATGACGCAAACGGCAGCAATAATTTTAAAATGTGTAAAATTCCATTTATTATCTGAATATTATGGGACTTGTTTTAAAATGAGCGCCAACGTCTTCCCATTCTCTATAGATCCTACGTGGCATCTCGACCCCAAGGCGTGGGTGGCCACCCACGCCGCCCTTGGCTCTCGGGCAACACACGGCCTGCCTTGCAGTGCATGGTGGGTCTAAAGTATAGGAAAGTAAGACTTATATGTTCTTATATGCCCGTATTCTTTTACAGCATTCGATTACAAACAATTTGATAACAATTGGAATGACGTAGCACAACATTTGAGGTCAGAAAGCCGAAAAGAGTATAAACATTTGTGGGTGGTGGCGAGTTCATGCACATGTTCGAGTTCATGGCCTTCCTTGGGGTGGGCGACGGGTTGCCTGCCCGGCTGTCGATAGTGTTAATGTACAGTATAGTACTATAAAGCCTCACCTCTTAAAGCCTCTCACTGATCTCGTCCCACCTTAACTTTATTCCACCTCGACCTTGTTCTGCTGGGACCTCTTTATAAGCACTGGTGTTGTGCATCTGTTAAATTTGAGAAAGCAAACAAGTATGCAGGCATAACATGAATTATAAATATCTATCTTCATCTTGATGTTTCTCAATATTTTTATCAGCACTATGTTTTTCTTTACCAATAGATAAATACCCAAAATATAATGGCTAAGAATGGAAAGGATTAAGATTATTTCATGCAGCCAGAGTTTGGTACAGAGGCTTGATGTTTAGTGGCACTTTGGTACAAATGAGCCTGGTATAGTGGGAATTTGCTACAACGATACTTAGTTTAGTGGCAATTTTGTAGAAAGGTGCTTAGCATAATGGTATTTATTGGTAGTTCCAGTGCTCATTGCTGTAACCTTTGTCTGGAAGATGTATATCTCTTAAAAGCAAAAGGAATGTTAACAAGCAGGTGGGTTCTTATGATTGGATTATTACCAGAGCAACCCAACTTTAAACCAGGCTGCCAAGAAAAACTTAAAATAGAGCCACAAGTGGTGTACCAGCCACAGACGAGCACAGTTTTTATAATATAAGGATATTTTGTTTAATAAAATTTTTATTACATTTTGCACAGTGCTGAATAGTCTCCCCTCCCATTACTCTTCCTCAAGCCTGGGCCTGGGCTCAATTATTCCTTCCTTACTATTGGCTAACCAGCACATATGTAAAGCACACAAAACTAATTCTTCACTTCACAATTCAGAGTATGGTTATTTTGACTGAGATTTGGGTCAATAGTGATCTAATTTTGAGACTGGCCCTTGCTCAGCCATCATCAATCTTTTTAACACTAAATGTAAACATTTATACATGCTTTTAAGTGACCTTGTGCAAAATTTTAGACTGTGTAATAGGTACACTAAGGGGGCTTTTTTCAATTCAGAAGCAATATCACTCCAAAGTGAAAGTTTTGTAGTCTCTCAACGATTGATAGACCATGACACTTTGCATGTACTGTGGGTATTCATTTATGTCACCTAAAGGCCTTAATGCCTTAGTTAATGTCTTTGTTTAAAATTATACACATGGCCGTTTGAAGCATATATTAATGGCCACACCTCAAGAACGAGAGGAGGGGATGAACCAGCCTTGCTTGATCTGATATTTACCCTAAATGAGTCGGATATAAGGGAAGTTAAGTTGGAAGCCCCCTTGGGAATGAGTGATCATAGTGTATTGAGCTTTGAGTACCTGGTTGAGCTAGGAATTATCACCCCCAAAAAAGAACTGGGAAACAAAGGGCTGGCGTACCGAAAGGGAAACTATGAGGAGATGAATAAATTCCTATGGGATATACATTGGGACACAGAACTCGGAACCAAGTCCGTACAAGACATGATGGACTATGTCACCCAAAAATGTCAGGAGGCTGTAAGCAGGTTTGTCCCAGCCCAACAGGAAAAAACAGAGAAGCAAAGGAAGAATCCGTGGTTTAATAGGGAATGTATGACAGCAAAGGAGTTGAACAAAAGGGCATGGAGGAACTTCCGTAATAACAGAACACCAGAAAGTAGAGAGAGATACCAGAGAACCAGGAACGAGTATGTTAGTGTGAGAAGAGCAGCTGAGAAAGGTATGAAAATGATATAGCTAATAAAGCCAAGACCGAACCAAAGCTACTACACAGTCACATCAGGAGGAAGACAACAGTGAATGAACAGGTGATGAAACTTAGGGTGGGCGAGGACAGGTACACAAAGAGTGACAAAGAGGTGTGTGAAGAACTCAACAAAAGGTTCCAGGAGGTCTTTACAATAGAACAGGGAGAAGTCACGGCGCTAGGAGAGCTGGCAGCAAATCAGGTGACCTTGGAAAGGTTCGAAGTTACAAGAGATGAGGTCAAGAAGCACCTATTGGAGCTGGATGTGAGAAAAGCTGTTGGGCCGGATGGAATCTCACCATGGGTATTGAAAGTGTGTGCAGGAGCACTTTGCTTGCCACTCTCCATAGTGTATAGTAGGTCACTGGAAACGGGAGACCTACCAGAAGTATGGACGACTGCTAATGTACCAATATTTAAAAAGGGTGACAGACAAGAGACACTGAACTACAGGCCAGTGTCCTTAACTTGTATACCATGCAAGGTGATGGAGAAGATTGTGAGAAAAAACCTAGTAACACATCTGGAGAGAAGAGACTTCGTGACAACCCATCAACATGGGTTCAGGGAGGGTAAATCTTGCCTTACAGGCTTGATAGAATTCTATGATCAGGTGACAAAGATTAAGCAAGAAAGAGAAGGATGGGCGGACTGCATTTTTTTGGACTGTTGGAAAGCCTTTGACACAGTACCCCATAAAAGGTTGATGCATAAGCTGGAGAAACAGGCAGGAGTAACTGGTAGGGCGCTCCAGTGGATAAGGGAGTACCTAAGCAATAGGAAGCAGAGTTATAGTGAGGGGTGAGACATCAGAATGGCATGAAGTCACCAGTGGAGTCCCACAGGGCTCTGTGCTTGGACCTATCCTGTTTCTGATATACGTAAATGATCTCCCAGAGGGTATAGACTCATTCCTCTCAATGTTTGCTGACGACACCAAAATTATGAGAAGGATTAAGACAGAGGAGGACAGCTTGAGGCTTCAAGAAGACCTGGACAAGCTGCAGGAATAGTCGAACAAATGGATGTTTAACCCAAGCAAATGTAATGTAATGAAGAAAGGGTTAAGAAGCAGGAGACCAGATACAAGGTATCACTTGGGAGATGAAATACTTCAAGAGTCAGAGAGAGAGAAAGACCTGGGGGTTGATATCACGCCAGACCTGTCCCCTGAAGCTCATATCAAGAGGATAACATCAGCAGCATATGCCAGGTTGGCTAACATAAGAACGGCCTTTAGAAACTTGTGTAAGGAATCTTTCAGAACATTATATACCACATATGTCAGACCAATCCTGGAGTATGCGGCTCCAGCATGGAGTCCATATCTAGTCAAGCATAAGACTAAACTGGAAAAGGTTCAAAGGTTTGCCGCCAGACTAGTACCCGAGCTGAGAGGTATGAGCTACGAGGAGAGACTACGGGAATTGTACCTCACTTCGTTGGAAGACGGAAGAGTTAGGGGGGACATGATCACCACATTCAAGATTCTCAAGGGAATCGACAGGGTTGATAAAGACAGGTTATTTAACACAAGGGGCACACGCACTAGGGGACACAGGTGGAAACTGAGTGCCCAAATGAGCCACAGAGATATTAGAAAGAACTTTTTTAGTGTCAGAGTGGTTGACAAATGGAATGCATTAGGAAGCAATGTGGTGGAGGCTGACTCCATACACAGTTTCAAGTGTAGATATGATAGAGCCCAATAGGCTCAGGAACCTGTACACCTGTTGATTGACGGTTGATAGGTGGGACCAAAGAGCCAGAGCTCAACTCCCGCAAGCACAACTAGGTGAGTACACCATGTTACAGTGAGGTTGGAGATGACCGAGCATGGTCACTTCACAAGCAATGACCTTTATGTCTGACAAATTTAACCACCATGCTGCGTGGCTTTAAAATACGACATTCCTGTGTTGCGCCGAAAATAAATCCACTGGAAAAAATTATTTTCTCTAATTATGTTGTTAAATTGCAGTCTCTGGTCACGGGAAACTAAAATAAAATATTGTATGTGACATACTTTAGCTGTGAAAGAGCTGAGAAGTTGAGCAAATTATGGGCGCTGAACGATGCGCCTACCCATGGGGTGGCATGAAATTTATTAATTTAGAAATAAATATTAAATTGTTTTATATTTATATATTATTATTTTTTAATGACAGTATTCGGGATGGACATCTCAGGCGAAGGCCCTTTATGTTGGAGTCCGTGTCACATTTGTGTTCCAGTCTCGGTATGACACTGTGGTGGAGTTGGTTGGAGTTCGAAATGCAGATGACGAACCTGAGAAACGAAAGGAGGATGATGAACCGTAAGTTTTTGAGCCTTTTAATAGTTAAGCACGTAGTTGATTACAGTACCGGGTATTTGTAGAACATTAAATATATAGGCAACTTTCACTTTTTAATATTAAACATTTACTAAGGCAGTTAGCATATTGCAAATTAGTGTATCAGCATCAATTATCATCAGTAATCATTATTCATTATCATTGGCATGTTCCAGCGTACTGTTAGATGAAGGCTTGCACCCATCTGCTCCAGTGCTCTTTTGTTATGCCTTTTTTGTCCCTCCACCTGAATTTTTATTTGTAGGTTTAAAGATATTAATTTGTTGCTCCCAAAGGAAGGATCCTACTGACTCCTAGTTAGATCTGTACAGTCAGGGACTGTTAAGTTTAATTGTTAGACAGTTAGTGTTATTTTCTAGCTATTGAGAATAGGCTAGAGTTTTCTCTGCACCTGGTCAGTTGAAGCTTTCAGCAGTGGTAATTTTCAACTTATTTTTTCTTCTAGCCTTCATTCAGTTTCTGTGGGGGAGCTCTGTAGGCTCCCTGGAGCTATTGGCCTGATATTGGTTAATATTAGCACGGGGCTTCAGTCATATGGAGTTGTCATGTCTACCGGGGACCACTAGCCAGTACATGGTCACATCAGAATGGCGAAGGGAGCAATGGCCTATGAAACTCGCATACTGTAACCCCGCGATTATCCGGGATTCAAACATCCGGAAAACGCCCTTATACGGCCAAAATCGTGATCGGATAAAGTTGTCACAATATCCGGCCAAAATGGTCACAGGAACCGGATAAAAGCTGGTTTGGCCAGATGAATATTCGGCCATACCGTATTAATCCCGTCTGTGGCTCTAGACGCATGGTGGAGGAGGGGGTGGGGTGGGTGGGTGGTGTTGGGAGGGTGGGAGGGGTGCGTCGGAAGGGACCACCTGGGTACAGGAATTACCATTAATTTTATAACACTTAATCATAGCCAAAAACAAATGAAATAAGTACTAGTAATTATGTAATAACAAATAAATAAGTTTCCTAAAAGTAATGTGCACAGGCTGAAGTTTCCTTCAAAAATATTGAGTTTTTTTTTCCTCTTGACGGCCTATGTGACGCGCTATAGCTGCCCCACCCCAAGTGGACCCGTCCAACACTGGTCAACCCATGTGCGTCCATCCCTCGTGTTATACACAATGCTGCGCCATTAGTGAAATATTTTTTTAAATAACTTTTTTATTTTCATAATAACTTTGAACATTTTTGGCAAAGATTATGTCTGGTAGCAGCATCAATCGTTCTGAAGGTGTTAAGAGGAAGAAAGTTGTCCTAACAATTAAAGACAAGTTACTGTTATACACCTCAACCAGTGCGGCATCACAGTGCTGCTCCATTAGTGAAATATTTTTTTAAATAACTTTTTTATTTTCATAGTAACTTTGAACATTTTTGGCCAAGACTATGTCTGGTAGCAGCATTAATCGTTCTGGAGGTGTTAAGAGGAAGAAGGTTGTCCAAGTGAGGCATCATAGGTAAGCTAAGCGCCTTCAACAAGTGAGGACATGCAAGCGCTTCAACAAGTGAGGCGCATACAAGCGCAAGCGGCCTCACAGGCAACCCAAGTGAGGAATGCCTTCAACCAGTGAGGCTTCAGCAGCTGGCAGTCAAAACTAACTTTGCTTAATGAACTGTACAGTAATTTTAAGTGTTAATTTTAGTGTTGTGTTAGTATAGGTTACATAAATTGTTAAGAATTTTAACTTCAAGATGTGTGGCATCAATCAAGAAGACGAACACCAACAAGGTAAGTTGAGGTTTCTAGTTAAATATTTAATAATTATATGTGGCAAGGCAATTCAAATTATGTTGTTTGTAGTATTAAAGTAGTTGGAAATTGTCACTTTTGGACTCGTAGGTGAAAAGGTACCATTATCCGAAAAATGTGATAATCCGGCTGGGGGTCCTTCCCATATAGTCCGGATGATCGAGTGGAGACAGTATATGAAAGTATTCATGTCTGCCATCGGCGGGGGTTGAGCACCCAGAAAGGTAGGCGTTTCAAAAGAAGCCTCCTGGTAAAAATGTTGCAACCTTTTTCCAGTGCCGAAATTGTGACTGCGGATCTGCTGTTCATTCTGGACTTATTTCCCCGTATTCCTGAACCCCTGTATTTCTTGCCCCTCCTTTTGGATAACCACTCTGTCCCATGTCTGACTTCTCTTGGAGCTGGCTTCTTGGATGGTATCTGGACCTCCGGGATGCATATTGGCATATCCCTATTCATCAGGTGTTTAGGGACTGGTTAGCATTCGTGGTGGGGCATCAGGCTTACCATGTTTGTTGCCCTCCTTTCGGGCTGAATCTGGCACATTGCGTTTTCACGTGTCTTACCCTGGTGGTGGTGGCCCGTCTGCTTCTTTTAGGTGTTCAGGTTTTGACCTACCTTGATGACTGGTTGCTCTGGGCTCCCAGCCAGTCCACATGTCTGCTCGCCAGGGTTCTTTCCCAGCTTGTTGGGTTCGGGTTCCTGGTGAACTGGAGGAAGTCCCATCTGGTTCCGTCTCAGGTTCGGACTTGGCTGGGCCTTGTCTGGTATTCCCAGACAGCGTCCTTGTCTCTCCCTCAGGCGGTGTTGCTCTGACTGCAGTCTCGCTGTCAACTGTTTCTGAGGTGTTCCCGGGTCACTCGGGGGTTGCTCAAGCAGCTGTGCAGAAGTCTGAACTTCACTGATCATTTACCTGCTGGGTCGGGTTTGGTTGTGGCATCTGTTCTGGTTCCTTCGGGGCCGTCCCTTCCGCCGCGATCGCGATCACTGGGTTTGTCCCCTGGGGGCCTTGTGTTGGCTGCTGTGTTGCCAGCTTCCTCTTTTGGCTTTTCGGGTTTCGGTGCTTTGGCGCCTTCCAGAGCCCTGCCTCGATGTGTTCATGGATGCCTCCTTTCTCGGCTGGGGTTTTGTGACCAATGTTCACCAGGCAGGCCAGGGGCAGTAGGCTCTGTCCTTCCGTCAGGCTCACAGTGCAGTGTGGAATTTATGGCAGTACGGCTTATTCTGCTTTGGATTTGGCTTGCTCGGGGCTCCACGATCTGGCTCCATTCTGATTGCGCTCCTGTAGTTCATTGCCTGAACCGTGGGGGATCTCTGTGGTCCTTGGCTCCTTGGGGCTAGTTGCTTCAAGTAGCTCTTCTGATGAGTTTTCAAGGTTTAGCTCTCCATGGGGTTCATATCCGGGGCGTGTCCAACGTCTTGGCAGATGGCCTGTTGCTGTTCTTTTCCCTGTCCACGGAATGGATAGTCGACTCCGAGTCGTTCAGTTGGCTCTGCTGGACATAAGGGCCCTTGGAGATGGACCTCTTCTTGTCAGCGTGGAATAGGTGTCTCCCTGTATATGTGGTGCCCTACCCCGACTGAGGCCTTCGTGATAGACGCTTTTCAGCAGGACTGGTCGAGGTGCGTGTACCTTTCCCTCCAAGAGGGGGGTTGTGAATGTGTGGTGTGATTACATGTTACTTGTTTTTCTTTGGAGTTTCTATTTCTAGCCTTTGTTCAGTCTCGGGTTGCAATATTTCTACCAGGAGGGGTCTGCTTTGAAGTGCCTACCTTTTCTGGTGCTCAACCCCGGTCGATGGCAGACATGAACTTTCATACCTGTGAGTTTCATAGGCCATTGCTCCCTTCGCCTCTCTGATGTGACCATGTTCTTGCTGGTGGTCCCGGATAGGCATGACAACTCCATATGACTGAAGCCCTGTACTAATATTAACTAATATTAGTACAATAGCTCCAGGAAGCCTCTGGGGCTCTACCCAGGAAATAACGTTTCATTACATTCACTACTGGTTTTTTGTAACTTTGCTCTGGGCCATAGGTATTGCACTCTTCACATGTTTTTTAATTGGCCAATTCTGTCAGCTCCTATTTGGAGGGGTACAAGGCGTATTTCTCATCTCTTGAGGTTACCACTATGTTCATGACTCCTTGGAACTAGCGCTTACCTAGTTGTATCTTTGGGGAATGAGTTCTAGTTCCAGAGCCTCACTATATAGCTTATGTACCTGATGCATTTATGTTCCAATACTATGTTATATTTACTCTTAGAAGCTGTGAATGGTGATTGATTCTTACCACTTCTGGCATAAGTTTGTTTACCATTCTCACTGTATATGGGTATTTTCTCTTATTTTGCATGTTCTGTGCATTGTGCGCGCGCACTATTGCTTGTTCTTGGGTGTTGGGGACGATCTGTTTTGTTTACCCTGAGGTCACACCTTAGCAGAATTATTCTGTTCTGCTTGTTGGCTTCCCTCGGTCTCCTCTGTTGTTTGTTTAACCCTTTCCCTGCTGTATTTTTATTTCATTCTTTTTTCTATTTATTGCAAAATTATTTAATAAATAGGATCTCTCTAGCTGTCTTTGAAAAGTAAAGTTAGTCTCTTTCTAATTGAAAATATGGTCCGAGACATATAACTATTGGTGGGGTTAGCTTTCTAAAAGAAAAATTATATTTGATTAAAACAAGGACTGCTTTTCCCTATAAAACATGAAAAATTATTACAAATATTTCTTAGGCAATAAAAAACTGACACTTCAATCATTATGTAATTTATAAAAATGGGCCTGGTGACTTGATACAATGCTATCTGTATTCCCAATGCACTCAGTATCATCATATATTAAAATGTTGACCAGACCACACACTAGAAGGTGAAGGGACGACGACGTTTCGGTCCGTCCTGGACCATTCTCAATCGACTTGAGAACGGTCCGTTCTAAAGCCATGTTATTGTGACTCATTGCCTGCAACATATAGTAATACAAGCAATAAGCATAGCACCATGGAATTACATGAAGTTTAGTTGTAAAATCAAACCAAAATCAATTCTTCCCTTTTTTCTTTACATTGGTTTAGTTGTTCTTAATTTTGGTTTTCATTTATAATAAGAAAAAGAATGTTCTTTTTCATGTGTACTACAGTTTGCTTGGCTTTTTTCACATTTGTTATTCTGGTTTGTCTGAAATAAGTACACAACAATAGCAAGATGAAGATGACAAATTAGAACCAACTGATTTGAATCAAAGTTTTCTCTCGAATGTGACATAAAAATTTCTTCCAATAATGCTGCAATAAAGTTTGGAGAAAGGTATTTCAATGCTGTTCTCCTCTTGTGTTATGAATTGTTTGTCAGTTTTGTTTACCCAGATTGTTGTAGTGCCAAACATGTAAGTCATTGATCATAGAATGGAATCATGTACTGTACCTGTAATGTCTGCACTGACTACTGCCTCGGTCGGAAGTTGGTGCACCAGATCCATACATTACTCGACCAAGTTGAGCATTTCATCCACTGCTTCCCATGCATTTACAGTAGCTTTGGAAAATGTTTGTTTTGTAAGACATTTAAGCTATTAATTAATAGAAAACAATGTAGGCAGGCATTGAAGTAGGCAGGTGTTATTATTCCTAAATATTTTGTGAGGTTTATTACATGTCATTCCTCATGTAGGGCAGGCATATTTACCTTTTACCATTATAAGGTAAAATAGATAGCTTGGTGAATTAACTGTTAAGCTCTTCAATTGTGTTTTTATAGGTCATGGAGTGCTGTCAAGTATCAACATCCCCAAGACTTTGAGTAAGTATGCAGTTCTGTACTCTCCATGCTAAAATTAATTTGGTAGCCTTTATTGGATAGTATGAATATTGGTTTTTAGTTGTGTACTTAATTAACAGCATTGATTACATGCAGGATTTTGATCTTGTTTAAATTTTGTCCTTTTCAAATATTAACTTACAGTTGCAGTGTAGTTTGAAGATGTGAGTAACTGCCTTTTGACAATTTATAATATCTTAACACAAATAATTTTAATAACCAAATTACTTGATGTAGCTGTTAAAAGTATTTTGAACTCTGTCTTTTCTATAGTGTTTATGAATACTGGTTATAATTTTGGGGTGGGGTGTGGGGGAGGGGTGGACAAGCAACCTGTGTGTATATATTCACTAGGCTAATATCGAGGTTTCCCCAAGATCAAGCTACTGACCCTTTCCAGGAAGCATTCCCAAAACAATTGGCTAACTCCTGGGCATCTATTTATTGCTAGGTGAACAGAAGCATTAGGTGATAGGAAACTTGCCTAATCATCTCTATCCTGTTTGGGATTCGACTCTGGGATTCCCGATTACGAATCTAGAACAAACTTCGACTGTACTGCCAAAACCCTCAACTACTTACTGAGGTTTGCATTACCATTGTAATTGCAGTAAAAGAAAATTAAGAGTGTCATGTCATCCTTCTCTCTATACAGCACATTGTTATATGTATTGTTTTAAGAAATTTATCTAAAAAGAGTCAACTTAGGATTATTTAAATAAAGCATAAACAAAGATACAATCACATTATTCTGGAGGCGTTTCCACCTGTTTCTTCCTTCTCGAGCTATCCACCTGGAGTCGTTCAAACCCAGATACTCCACCAGGCTCTTAATGAATCACAAGCACCTACCAGAGGCCAGGAACACAATCTGGCCTCCCTCACTAGAGGCATAGTAGGGTGTGGGGGATACAAGATCATCACATTGCTGAAGAAGAACTAATGAGAGAGAGAACTCATCAAAAACTAGCTACAGGTTGAACAATATTTGCAACCCTGATCTGAACTATGTACTCACCCATTATCTAGATTTAACTGCTATTTAGCTCCATTCCTTGCCACCAGATGGGCAGCCCCAGTTACTCGAGGGTTTCTGATAGCTACCCCAGTCATTCATGCAAAGACCAAGTAAGGCTCCAGGAACACCATGAGAAGAAGGGAAGGGTGAAAGTGGGAAGGTAGAGCAGGTTCACACCAGAAAGGAGGATTTCATTACATTCATCCCTGGATTTTGGGAAAACATCCTTTATCTTCCCAAGCTATCTTGCCATAGAGACGGAGACAGCAAAAGTGCTGACTGCTGGAAAAGGGGAATGCCAGTACACATGAGCTGGAAAAACTGCCTAAAATCACCTTATGTAATGGTTTGCAAATATACTGAACTGATAAACATACCTATGGTTATGTATATTCTTGTATTTTCTTAAGTAATGCGCTGTATTAGGAAGTGTACTGGAATTATAAATTTTTTACCATTTTTTTTGTTTTTCAGGATTTCTGAAGAATTACGGTCACACATGCCAAGCTTTGAGATTTACCTCCAAACTCTTATATCACAGGCACTAGACAACAACTTCTTAATGGAAATTTATGAAGAAAGTGGTATGGATCCTAGTTGTTTTTCTTTATTAAAACTCATTCCATTTTCTTTCTCATTCTGTGTTCTTCCTTTCTTGTTCATATTATTATCCTCATTTTCAGTAGTTAAAATTTGTGCTCATTCTTCATTTTTGCTCATTTTCCTCTTTCATATTCACCTTTCCCATTCCTTTCTGTATCTATTTTTAAATATTTCTACATTGCCCATACTTTGCATTTTGCTTAATGTTTATGGTATCGAGTCATTTACATTTCTTGTTTAGAAGTGCACGTGTAAGAGATTAATATTTTGTTAATGTAGACGTATGCCAGGGTTGTTTGACCATCTCCTTTGATGCTCAGTGCTCCGTATACCAGTATCCTTTATGTGGTTCTCTGGGGACTACCATCCAGCACCACCCACAGATCTCTTCCATTGGCAGAGTTCTTTAATGCCTTTCCTCATAATTTGTAGGTTGTGTGTGGCCTATTTTCTCCTATTCCACATTCCATGGCTTAATGTTATATTCCTGTTTTCCAGATGATTACTTTGTGGAAAGAGTTAAAGTAATAGATGAGCTTGCTGAGCAGAGGAAGAAGAAAATACTGGAGATTGTGCACTGGAATGACCAATTCCGGGTATGTTTCTACTGTTGATAATAATATTCTTGTCAAGGTTTTCCTTGTCTATGTCCATCAAAATTTCTTGATGTGGGAACAAGTTCTTTATGTAATGCTAAATTTAATTGTGTACATATTTTTTTTTTTTGGCTTAGGGATATTAATTTGTCATCCACACTTCTGTGGAAATAAACATTTTATTCACCTGGGCTCAAAGGGACTTGAACCACAAAAATAGGTATATGCATTTTGTTGCCAGAGCTTACTTTTGCATCTCCTATACAAAATTTAGAATTGTATATATAATTTTTTAATTTTACATACACATTAAAAATGTCTAGTAGATTTTTGCAAGATTGTGGTGTGTGAATGAGTAAATAGGCAGGCATCATTTGGAAGTAGCATATAAAAGTGTAAATGATGTGTGATACAAATTGAAACTTGTGTTATTTAAGCAGCAAGTTGAAGTGCAAACCTTAACAAACTATGGACTCTTTAAAAGTAACTTCCTCCCTTTAAAAGCCTCCTTTAAAAGTAACTAGGCCTTCCTCCTATCTCTGTAATAGACAGTGGAAAATGGCTTGGGCTAGGTTACATGTTGACCATACACGTTTAACCCTTTAAGCTGCGCAAAGTCATATGAAGTCGGACAAAAGAGCTCGGTTTTTAAAATTTGCTGAAACGCTTTAAAATGTTTTGTGCATAATCTACTAGGCAAATGCTCCAACTTTGTCTAAATGATACCATTGTAACTTGAAAAACAAGAAAATAAAAAATACTAATGAAATTGAATATTGAAAACTTCAGGTTTTGAAATCAGCTTCAAAAATATAAAATATCACTAATTGTTCATTTGGTGTTATTATGCTCTCAGAATAGCATATGATCTTCATGTTCATATATTTAGAATATAGATTTTCCGTATAGTTTACTGTAAAAGAAAATCGTCAATATGTGATTTGAAATATGCGTAAATTTAGAGAACAACAATTTATAACTCCAAACGTTTAGGGTTTATGAAAAATCAATTCTATAGGGATTGTAGAACAAACAGCCGTGCACACTATATGTAAAAATTTTGAGAATCGGTCAGAAAGTAGATTTTGGGATATTGAAGTAAGTTGAAATTCTAGTTATAGATAAAATTGAAGTTGAAGTTATCGACAATGAATAAAGCAGTTCTAATTCATGAATTTACTTGTATGTTTAAATAAACACTTTTTGGCATTCATACTCGAATATGTGAAAGTTGTAGGCCAATATGTGTTGAAATGAAATCAAGAAAAAATAACCCCCCAATAAACAAAATATAGGGAAAATTATAATAATTATAATGATTTAGGAGACACATTTAGGGTATACTTTATATAAGTGAAAAAAACTAAACTGGTCACTACTAATCAAAACAGCCTAAAGAGACAAAGAAAATAGTTTGAAATTTGTGAAAAAATCAGCTAAAAAAATATAAAAGTCCTGTGAGTTATGACCGATTTATTTGTTGACCAATTTCACTCTATCTTCACACAGTTAGGGACTGGATTTCACTCTACAGGATGTGAAGGTTACAACAAAATTAGATAATAAACAAAGAAGAAAAAACTTTAAAAACTTAAAATAAAATCCCCCCCCTCTGTATGAAAAAAATGGACATTGATAAAAGTAACAGATATTAACATTGGGCAATGTATTTATATGATATATAACAAAATATAGCATAATAACATATATTATTACTTTGTGTTATTATGTACTACTCAGCAATGCTATAAAGGCACCAGCTGCATATCCACTTTGTGGAAACTTCTTACTACTATTCTTTTATGCGTTGGTCAGGTGCTTGCATCTCTCATTACTGCATTATCCATCAGTCCCAGTTAATAGGAGCTGTTCTCCTTATCAACAAAATGTTCTTCTTTTTTAAAAATTGTCTAAAATCAATTTCTGAAAATATTTTGATGAAAGTTTCACGATGCTGAAGTAAATAGTTTTGAGATTTGTTCAACATTTTTTAGTAATTTTTACATACTGTAATTTGAATATTTTTTACTTCCTTGCCTCTTTTGCTAAGCAGTTTAAGGGTTAACTCATGGACATATAATGGACCACCACCCTGCTCCTTATTATCCAAACTACATTCTCTCACCTAGTCGTGTATCTCCTTGTGGAATATCCCGATTTTCAGGATTATCGTATGTCTTGCTTTCCTACTGTCCTTCGAGATCATTAATTCCTCGGCAAAATCCTCGGTGAGTCGAATACCTTTCATATCGCTTGTTTTGTGTGCTTTTGTTCTCGTATTGGAATCCACAGTGATGGTTGGTGCCTTTTTGAATTACTCCAAAAATATGTCTCGGAAGGCGAGGGTTACCTCGGGACGCGAGTTTGTTGATACGTGTACAGGCCGACTGGCGCGTGGTGGCATGGCGATCGCGCCTCAGTTTACCAGTGTCTCGTGTCCAGTGACTATCCCACCTGAATTCTTCACAAGGATTTACAGTTTTTTATCGTTTCTTTGGCCATTTGAGCATAAAAGTTGTCATTATATATCTTGCCATGGGTCTCAAGAAAGCCATGGTAAGGTTCAACCTAAGAAAATAGCTGTGAGTAGAGGCAGTAGAGGATGTCCCTTCTTGATTAAGAAAATGTGTGAAGTATGGGAAGAACTGCAAAGTTTTGTTGAAAAAACTCACCCAGATAAAGCTGTAGCAGGCCATTGCATTGACCTTTTAAATGATAATGTGATGTCTTACTACAGCCAAGTGTTAAAATGTAGGGAAAAACAAGTGTCATTAGATAAATTCTTAGTAAAACAAGCAAGTCCTAGTGGTATGCAGGCAAAATGTGTCAGTGTGTGCATACCAGTGAAGTCCTCACTGCCTGATGTGATAATGGAAGGGGACTCCCCTTCCAAACAGTAACTCCTCTCTTCCTATTCACATTCTAACCAACATACCTAATATAAGCCTACCCCTCCCTTTTTCTCTTTATTTTTCTTTCTCCTCATATTCCTACATTCCCATTCTTATGCTCATTATTACCCCCCCCCCATCTTACACCCCTTTATTACACCCATCCCATCCGTCCTGTTGCCTTGCTCTTCCCTTCTAGGAATTTCCTCCTCACCTCTCTTGCCTTAATGCCTGTGCCTCCTTCGCTTCCATCATAATCGACTTGATAATGGTCCAGGACAGACCAAAACGTCGTCGTCTCCTAGTCTTCTGATGTGTGGTTTAGTCTTCCTATCTTGAGCCACGACATTGTGATTATTTGTCTGCAACTATAAATTATTTACTAATGTATCACAATTTCATAAAGATTATAACTACATACAGTATATTCTTCCTTTTCTTTAATGATTTAGTTCTAAACTACTACAGTATAAACAAAGCATACATTGATAATTTTCACTTTACAGAAATCATTAGATACATGGCCGTGCATCAATGTGATGCTTACTAAAAATGCTGACACGTGCCAAGCTTGCTCGAATAACCCCGCCTCAAAACTTTCACAACTCTATGGTCAGCCCTATGATCAACAGACTCTTCGTTCAAGAGAACCATTGCAAGCAGAGATTAACGCCAAGGTAGGATGTTATAACTTGTTACATTATTAATTCAAGTTTAGTCTATATACAGTTATTGTTTAATAGAATTTTGACAAATGATTCACATTAATTAAGTTGGATAGACGGGTAGTTTTGCGTAATCCTTCCTTGAGGAAGACCTGTGTTGCTGAGGTTTTATCACTGATATTTGTTGTAAAAAGTTATTTTGGCATTTGTAGATGATTTTTATTGGCTTACTGGATTTATGGTTATATAATTTGTGGTTATATTTACCTGCATTAAAGTAATTAAGTGATATTAAATTTAATGTTATAGAATGGTCTTAGAATTTTTGTTTTTTTCCAGAATTTTGAAGTGTGTGATCGCTGCTCGAACATCTCTCAGATGTACAATAAGGTATCCCATCAAAAATATGACTATTATTCCCAGTGCAAGTCAACAGTTACAAACATGAGAGTTACTCACCCCAGTAAGCACACAACTACAATTCTTCGAGACTTGCTCGCCAACGACCACTGGATCATGGGGGTATGTTAACTGCCATTTTAAATTTTTCCTCGAAATTTTACCGTTTATTTTTAGAAGCTCTAATTGTTCTGGTTTTAAGAGGGACAATTTCCTGGAGTTTTATCTTTAGTGTGATATCAGGTACTGTATGAAATACAGTATGAAATACAGTACAGTGGTTATATGGTGATTGAAGCTTTTGTGTCGCATTACATCAACTAGATATAAACAAGTTAGTAAGAGGAAGGTAAGCAACTCGCTCTTTGTACCAGCTCCAGTGGGCTCTCCTCTCACAAAGATTGGGAATGTTTGTAACTTGGGCATTGGGTGCTTGATCCCCCTCATCATTGGATGCTCGATCTTCTCATCATTGGGTGCTCGATCCCCTCATTGGGGTGCTCGATCCCCATCATCATTGGGGTGCCCGATACTCTAGTCATTGGGTGCTTGATCCCTATCATCACTGGAGTGCTCGACATTCTCGTCATTGGGTGCTCGATTACCCTCATCATTGGGTGCTCGATCCTCTCATAAATGATAATCAACAATATCATTGACTACATAGATAAAGTTAATTTCATCTAATCATTCGTGGAAGCCATATACAAACTTTGTTCTGTATGTTTCTCACTATACAACAATGCCAAGAACTGGCAAAGCAAGGCAGCCCCACTGCAACAAAGCTTAACCACCGTGCTGCGCTGAGTTTATTGTGAAATTCCCCCCGGTCCGCATGAAATAGTGTTCCCCCCCAAAATTTTTCTTTGTAAAATGACAAATTCCCTTCCCTGAAGATGTCATTGTAAAAATAAATACCAAATTCCATTTACTTTGGCTGTGGGGACGTGGACAAGGTGCGATGTGACCATCAGGGCCTGGTCGCCCATGCGTGAATCGCCCAGACACGGTTGCGCGGGCCATTCACGCACTGGGTGTTGCCACAAATATATTTTCAATTATTTGTTTTATGTATTTCCAATGCGGTTTTATTTGTTTTTTATCGTATATGATGCATTTTTGTGTCCTTTACAATATGTATACAGTAGAACGTTCATAATGTTCCATGGAACTGTGATACATATGTCAGTAATGTGTCCACAATAAATGTTTATTGTCGCAATATTATCTGTTAATTTAAAAATTCACTAAAATTACAATATGTACAGTTTCACACACTACACAGTAACACAATGCATTACACACTCAGTACTTTGGAAGTGAGTAATAATTGACGAAGTAGTCCATGGTACACTGCGCGACTTCGCTCTCAGTGCACCAGGTACAGATAAATTCTCGCTTCCTGTTTCTTCATTCTGTGTGCTTGCCAATAATGCTCTCACGTACACCCTTGGCTTTAGTACTTGTAGGTTGTATGTAGCCAAGCTTGTAAAGCATAAGGTAGTATTGAGAAGATTATAGGAAAAGATAAATTTGTAAGGTAGTCTTGAAAAGATCGCTTTGTATGGTCCCACATAGGAAGAGATTCAGCCAGCCTCAAAGAGTGTCCGTCAGTTAGGAAGAGATTCAGGTCCTCCATTATATATATAGATATATTCTAGTCTGTATATTTTAAAGATGCGTTACAATAAAACATTTTACAAGTAATGTATTTAAAAAAAATTGTGTTATATAGTATTACTGTATCTTTAATGTACTCTACGGGTATTTTAAAATGTTAGGTATGTGCTTAGTATTTTTACAGAAAATGATTACTGTTCCAGTAACTGTATTATACAATTTGTTGTATCGTTATTAAGCCTCACTGTCCCCTTAAAAAAGTGTTAATGCTTGCCCCACCTCAATGAAAGATTGATAGTTTTTACTTTTTATGGTCAGTATGGCTGAAATTTTCAGTTCAGAAGAAACACATAATAGTATGGTAGGGTCAGCAGGGAAAATTTCAGGTGCTGTATTAGAAACAATGTATTAGAAACATTTGTTGTACACAAACTCTACTTAGCATATTATAATCGTAACATAAATTACCAATTTCAGCTCTTCCGTTCTATGTGTACAACGTGGATCAAAGTAGACAGATTGTTCCAAGATGAAGCTGAAAGTCTCAAGAAAAATGAAAATGAGAACGAGAATGAGAACGAGAACGAGAATGAGAACGAGAACGAGAATGAGAACGAGAACGAGAACGAGAACGAGAATGAGAATGAGAATGAAAATGAGAATGAAAATGAAAACGAAAATGAGAACGAAAATAAAAATGAAGCAACGTGATTGACAGTTTGAAGTGTGAAAATGCAGACTCGACCATACTGTATGGATAATGCTGAATTCAAGAGAATTACATCAGAATGTTCAATATAGTAAATAGTTGAAAAGAATAATGTTAATGATTTGGTGACTTGGCGAAAAGTGAACGTAGAGGAAATATAAATAACCTCTGTTGCATGGAAGGTAGTATTGTGAGAGGTAAATATAGACGATGGTGTGATCATTCAGTGTACCATCAAACTGGACTTGTCATTTCTTTTCCCATGTCAAAATTTCTATAACATTAGAGTATAAAATGATATGAATTGTACACTAGCAGTGTTTGCTGTCAGTTCTTTGATAGAATAAGAGTTTCCGAGTATTTGCTTAGTACCACTTAGCCTACTGCTGAAGTGCGGTATAAAGAACGAATCGAAGCCAGCCGAAAGTCTTGCTAGATTACCAGTACCAGGTAGTTGTATAATTTATATTCTTTTAAACATTTTAAAAGCTAAGTCACAATGTGCATTAATGAAGAGGACAGTGCTTTAAGAAAATTATTATTGGTTTTCATAATTTAAATAATATTATATATATATATATGTATACATATATATGATTCGGTTAGATTCTTGTAGACAAAACTGCTGTACTTAAAACATTCTTCTAGGGTCTCCAAGGTTGTCATTTGAATGTAGCAGAAGGATTTATTTGTGTTTTGGTCCTATGATAATTTTATTAATTTCTTTGTTAAACACGAAATTGAGCACCCTGAACGAAAAGTATGCCTGGCGAGTATTTTTGTCAATTCTTGCCATCTGTATTCTGCATGTGTAATACATAGATGTTATACATTAATATACATTAATTATTTTTACTCCCAAACAATTCTCTGGACAACAGGTGGTGTTGTGAAAGTTGTGTACTAGGGCGTGTTGATATAGCTGGCATTACTCAATGTTAAAAAATGTCTTATCATATAAATTTTCTAAATATTTTCCTAAATATGTAATTGTCTGTTCATAAATAAAAGGTGAATATTAAATTGTATGGCATGGCAGCTTTTCATTAGGTTTACTTATTGTCCATCATGGTGCCTAAGTTTTGAGCATTGAGAATAAACTAAATGCCCAAGAATCTTTCAGTAATCATACTTATAATGTAGTATTTTTCTCAGTTATATTTATGCACAAATTTGAACATAAATACAGTAGGCCACCTCTAAATTCTTCACTGTAGAGCGTGTTGATTACGGTTTTCTCTGTTACAGTCCTCATTTCTTATACCAAGGTCATGTTAGATTTCTTAGTTGGTTTGCACGGAATGAGGGTGGTGAAGCATGCATGGGATCTTTATGAACATCACTTCTCTAGTTTTCTTCAAACATTTATGGGATCAAGAGTATGCTGTACATAATAGATGCAATAAAATGTCCATATTTTGTTTGAAAATTACAATATTGGAAGTTAATTTGTGTAGGGAAATTAAAAATTTGTGAGGCTGGCATTTGATCTTTGGCTCATGCTCTTTAGCATCATCTAAAGGTTTCATCGCTTCCTCTAGCTCTGTTTCTCTTCCACCTCTTCCCCCAATTTTTATTCTTTCTGCCCTCATGTTTTTCCTTCTTACTTCTTTTCCCCTCTGAGGAAGCTTTCTAAAAGTGTATTAACATTATCGTAATCTGCAACGAGAGGATTGAGTTAAGCAGTTTAGTATTCACAATTCACTATATTGTGAGAGTAAATTTGTTGAAAATTTAATTTGATTATTTAAAAACAGGAAACCTTGTGTGGGACAAGCACTTGTAACCAAATGACGTATTTGTAAGTTTGTCGAGTGTGATTCTTTTTTCCGTAGCAGTATTTATTAACGTATTCATTTAAAATTAGCATAAAATTAAAAGTTTGCAAGATGTTAGATTATGGAAGTTGTGGACTCGATGCCTCAGTTGGTAATTGATCAAAAGTTTGAATTGATTAAGTCTTCAAAGGACCTAATCAATTGTTATAGTTATTTTTTTAAATAGTTTTAAGTGCTAAAACTATATTAATTACCTGTTTAGGTATTAATGCAAGAGTGTGTCTTCTATTCTGGTGTTGGTTGGAGAAATTAGCTAGAATGTTTTTTTTCTGTTTTAAGAAAATGTTTGATTTTCAACTTGAGCTATGAAAGTTATATAGTTATTGTAAGCCCTTGCCAGAGTTGAGAATGCATGTCTCTGTACAGTGTAGTAATTTTGTAAAGGATCATATCACAAGACATTACAAATAAATCGGAATCAAAAGGCCATTCTCAAGGTGTCATTCACCATTGTTCTTAAATTTACTCTTTGATACATGAATACTACCTTACCTTACCTCGAGGGGATTTCGGGGCTTAGCGAGCCCATGGCCCGGTCGTCGACCAGGCCGCCTCGTTGCTGGACTTTATAAATCTAAATACTAATAAATATTTGGAAACTCAAGATTTATAACATACATATTTTTTTAGAAACATATTTGTTGATAATTTGTAAGAAGTGGTTAAATTCAGTGTAAATATTCATGATTTTTCTTCTCGTCCATTCTTTATAAGTTAACTGTACTGTATTGGGGCAACAATTCCTTCAGAATTTGCCAGGTCTAAGTTTGATCCTGAGTCAGGTAGGGTGTACCAGGTGTTTACTCATAATCTTGCTGAGGCTTTTCTAAATAAACCATTTTTGCATAGGGTTGAACACCTCTACAGGTGTAGAAAAGTTTGGTAATGGGAGAAACTCAATTCCACTGTATTTGGCTCAGAACCAAAAATTGTTAAATTGTTTGGTTTTGCTTTGTACAAATATTCTTCTAAGTTTGTATGTTTATTTATCGATACAGTGATTTTAAATATGAATGTGTTCATAATCTATTCTTTATTTATTGTTTTCCATTGTTTAAACATAATTTTTTTTTATATAGTACAGAGCTGTGTCAACTATATTGGCACAGGTGAAATGCCCATGAGATTGGGCACTTCAGGGATTGGTTGATAGACCCAGTTGTTAGGAGAGGCTTTCCAGCAGTTATCATGCCTGAACTTACCTGCTGGAAAGTAGGTTATAATTATATGGCTGCTTTCTGGTGTCATTAATTTTAAAATTAAATAATTTGAGTTGAATGAGAGCTGAGGTTACTAGGTTTATTTTTTATGGAGTTAAATATTTGCTCCATTCCATCAAGTTGGGATGGACCGAAGGCCAACAGTAAATGGAAGAACCTTGCATTCGTACTGTTACTTTACGAGATACGAGTATGTTTTTGGTACTTTACATTATAACATAGTATTTAGATGGAGTCAAAATAGATTCACTGATAATACGCAACCATGGAAATACAGTAATTCCATGATGTGGATGTTGTGGACATGTGGGGAAAGGCCGAGTGCGTTTCTTCTCTCATCTGAGGCCCTGTTTACCTCGTGGAAATGGGAAGTATGGTTCTGATAATGATAAATGATGTTAACTTGTAATGTAAACCAGAGTTTTTTTATAATATCTGAGAAATGAAGGATGGATAAATACAAGAGAATTTGTTTCATATCAGAATAAACTGCATCCTTGTTTTTTTTCAGTTTTCTTTAATGTTGTAGCATATGTGGTTTGTTTATACATTTCATAATGACAGCTTACAAATGTTTTAGGGTTAATCTCGTCCCATCCTCCAAAAATGATAGTGCTTTTAGCAACTGTTGGTTGAATATATAAATTTGGACCATTGTATTAAGAAAGTTCATGTTTTGTTACATTGTAATATTCAATTGGAATATTAAATATGCAAACCTAGGCCTAACTTAGTACATATATGTGCTATGCTAGGCCTAGAAAAAGTGTAGGCTTGCCTTTTTTTTCTTGTGCCATATATAAAATTAATAATGCAAAATGTGAATTTTTTTGTGCAAGAGTCCATTTTTATATGTTGATAAATAGTTATTATTAGTGTACTATCTTTTTGGATGACAGTTGGTTAATCTTGACTGAAATATTCACGTAAGAATAATCTCTATCTCCTTTGCTAGCTTACTCTCGCACTCTCTCTCTCCCTCTCATTCTTTTTCTAGTTTTTGTGAATGCGAGTCTTATCTGGTTCTTAGATGATGCCTTCTCTTATGATGAGGGAAGCAGGTTTTGAGTCCTAAAGAGAAATTTTGTATCATTTCAGTATTCAAATATATTAGGTTTTCAGTGCATTTCTTATGGATTTTTTATTTGTATGTGTGTGTGTACGTATGTTGTGTGTGTGTTTCTATGGAGCAGACAGCAAGTTGTTTTGTACTCTATTATTTACTAACGTGAGATAGGTTCTAACAATACATGTTCAGTATGTGTATTAACCTTTAAGGTAGAATGCAAGTGTTGTCCACCTTACTTGAGAGAAATTTTATGGGCAAAATTCTTGTGATTTATATAGTATATCTTCATATATCTCTCCTCTCTCTTTCTTCCCCTCCCTGAGTTAGCAACACACACGCAGCATTATGAGTCTACCAGCCACCTTTCTCCTGAGGCATGACGACTATCATTCAGTAATGCCCAGATTAAATTCTCTCTCATCACCATGTTTACTTTTCACAGCTGTTACATGGAACATTTCTTGGAGGCTCTATTTGGGCCCCAGTGGTATGTTGTGGCTTGGTACTCTGTTTATCCTATGTTTCAAACATGGCTATATTTCTTGTATCATTATTTGCATGGATAATGATAGTTGTAGTGTTTGTGTAAATATTATGGGTAAGGATTTTTGTATTTTTATATTTGCTCATATTTTGATTTTTCTTTTCATACATTGAGTATTTCATCTAATGATAATGAATTCTTTGTTATATGCTTGTTTCTTGATTTTTTTTTTAAAGCTGGAGAAGTGATTTATAGTTTTATTTTAATATTGCATTCTGATCTGGTGGTGGCCACAATGCACTTCCCCTTCTGGGCGTGTATATATATATGTATATATATATATATATATATATATATATATATATATATATATATATATATATATATATATATATATATATATATATATATATATATATATATATATATATATATATATATATATATATATATATATATATATATAAATATATATATATATATATATATATATATATATATATATATATATATATATATAATATATATATATATATATATATATATATATATATATATATATATATATATATATATATATATATATATATATATATATATATATGTCGTACCTAGTAGCCAGAACGCACTTCTCAGCCTACTATGCAAGGTCCGATTTGCCTAATAAGCCAAGTTTTCATGAATTAATTGTTTTTCGGCAACCTAACCTACCTAACCTAACCTAACTTTTTCTGCTACCTAACCTAACCTAACCTATAAAGATAGATTAGGTTAGGTTAGGTAGGGTTGGTTAGGTTCGGTCATATATCTACGTTAATTTTAACTCTAATAAAAAAAATTGACCTCATATATAATGAAATGGGTAGCTTTATCATTTCATAAGAAAAAATTTAGAGAAAATATATTAATTCAGGAAAACTTGGCTTATTAGGCAAATCGGGCCATGAATAGTAGGCCGAGAAGTGCGTTCTGGCTACTAGGTACGACATATATATATATATATATATATATATATATATATATATATATATATATATATATATATATATATATATATATATATATATATATATATATATATATATATATATATATATATATATATATATATATATATATATATATATATATATATATATATATATATATATATATATATATGTGTGTGTGTGTGTGTGTGTGTGACCACACTGCACCTTGTGGTGTGTTGGCGGGAGATGTCCCTCTCTGCCCTCTATGGGGTTATAGCCACAGTGCATTTCCCTCCTGGGTGGTGGCCACAGTACCCTCCCCTCCTGGGTGGCGGCCACAGTACCCTCCCCTCCTGGGTGGCGGCCACAGTACCCTCCCCTCCTGGGTGGTGGCCACAGTACCCTCCCCTCCTGGGTGGTGGCCACAGTACCCTCCCCTCCTGGGTGGTGGCCACAGTACCCTCCCTTCCTGGGTGGTGGCCACAGTACCCTCCCCTCCTGGGTGGTGGCCACAGTACCCTCCCCTCCTGGGTGGTGTCCACAATACCCTCCCCTTCTGGGTGGTGGCCACAGTACCCTCCCTCCTGGGTGGTGGCCACAGTATCCTCCCCTCCTGGGTGGTGGCCACAGTACCCTCCCTCCTGGGTGGTGGCCACAGTACCCTCCCCTCCTGGGTGGTGGCCACAGTACCCTCCCCTCCTGGGTGGTGGCCACAATACCCTCCCCTCCTGGGTGGTGGCCACAGTACCCTCCCTCCTGGGTGGTGGCCACAGTACCCTCCCTCCTGGGTGGTGGCCACAGTACCCTCCCCTCCTGGGTGGTGGCCACAGTACCCTCCCCTCCTGGGTGGTGGCCACAGTACCCTCCCCTCCTGGGTGGTGGCCACAGTACCCTCCCCTCCTGGGTGGTGGCCACAGTACCCTCCCTCCCTGGGGGTGGCCACAGTACCCTCCCTCCCTGGGGGTGGCCACAGTACCCTCCCTCCCTGGGGGTGGCCACAGTACCCGCCCCTCCTGGGTGGTGGCCACAGTACCCGCCCCTCCTGGGTGGTGGCCACAGTACATGAACCGCCAGGTAGCCCTAATGAAGCTGATATATTGTTTTTCCATTATTAAATTTATCAGTCTACTAACAAGACAAAGTCCTCAAGATGCAGATACATGAAATTCAATGCTAATGGATTAAACAAATATTTGTATACTAACAAACTGGTGCTGCCTTATACAAATTATATTTACAAGTGAAGTTTGTATTTGAAATTGATTTTAGTCGTTTTGTGGTGGCCTACTTATAAATAGTACTCAATTTTATTTTTTTAATGTTTGCATTGATTGTATAATTTAGTTTGATTTTATTTCCATTAGCGAATAAGCAAAGCATTTTGAAAGAAAAATCTAGATTCTTTAGGGGTATCAAATGTTTTTTTTTGAATACTAGACAGGCATGTAAGAGTGGCAAGACTTAAACTGTAACATACGTACATCAGTATTTATTCCTATGGGTATGTAAAGCGCCTACGTGGTTTAGTTACCTGCGTAATACGAGTGTGGTGTATAAAGCACCGTCCCTTCATGAGCAGTGCACATTATCTGATAGTATATTTAATATTTTGATGTCATCCTCTACATTTTGAATTTCACCAGCAGAGCATGACACTGATATCAAGCCAGAATGGTTAACTTTAGTGGGAATATTGTGGAAAAAATAAATTGTTACCTCTCAGTGAGCATATTTTCTTAACCATTCTGCTGGCAATTTTCACTATGTTATATACAAGATTTATAGACCATCAAGTGACTCCTGAGGACTCTGATTTAGATGGCTAAATTCAAGTTGGAAATCTTTTTTTTTGCTGTGTAATTTCATTGTCTTTGTGTAAATATTGGTGAGATCACATGAACAGTGTTTGTTCAAACATATACTGTACTCCTCTTTCGAGAGCACTACAGAAGATGATGGCAATGCATCACAAACAATATTTGAAATACCATTTTCAATCGGTGGGCCACAACTGCAAATTCAGAAAAGCACACAATTATCTATAAGTTAAGTGTGGTGGGTCGAGCTGATAAATGAAACAATTTTAAACTACTACATATTGTATTTTCTCTTAGCACACTCCTGTTCTATTAGCTTTAGAGAATATTCTCCGAAAGTTAAATTGTGTTTATAAAAGTGCAGTGACTGTTTTCCTCCTTGTTTTGAGGTATGCTGAAGTAAACATACTTCGTAGTAATGACAACATTTTAGTAATACAACTACAAATACTGAAGTGATGAAAGAGCAGTCTTAAGATATCCATTCCTTAAGTATAATGTTAGATAAATTTCCCTTTGTTTTATCACCTAATGTGACGACTTTGTTATACAGAGTTGATAATTTAATTGCACAGAAAGCAGAGGTGGTATTGTTGGTATGTGCGGGAGAAATTTCCACTAATAAATGTACATTTTCAGTTTCTGGTATTATTATGAAATCCCATGTATGTTCTGTACAGTATCATGTATAAATTTGAGTTTAGATACGTATATATATATATTTTAAAGGTTTTTATGTATACACAGGTTCTTATTAAGCTTTGTTTTTATTTACACCAACTTCATATAAATATTTTTAGTAGCAGTCAAAGTGCAAAGCAAAGAAAATTGATGAAAGTGGAATATAAAGCATTTGTATAATTTTTGGCAAGTGACAAGAACATGCAATTCTTCATCAAGCAACAGATTTAATACAATGCTCCAACAAACTACCAACACTCCATAATATTTTCAACTGAATTCTTGGCAGTATTCCAGGCTCTTAAAAATAGAGTAGCAGCTCACAGTTCCACCGTTGTGCGTTCATGCTCGGTGCACGTTAGAATGTAGTGAGTTGAACGACGATGACGATGAACATTAGAATTCTTCACAATTACTCTTCCCTCCATGAGATTCAATCATTATTTCAAGCACTATGGATACAACAGAGCCAGCATTAACATGAGTGGCAGTAGCACCAGTGAACACGAGGTGGTGGCCCCTTACACTTCAGGCAGCTGGCTGTGTTAACTCGAGGTTATATTGAGAGTATTCATAGAAGTTTTTTATTGATAGTTTAGCTCTTAAGTACAGAACAGTCATATCCATCAGTATGTTTTAATTGAACAAATGAGTGATACTGTATATTGTATATGTGATAACTAAAGAAATTATCTTCCATGACTAATTCGATGTTAATACCTATTATAGTGAAGAGGAGGAAGATCCTATGCTGCCGAACCCTTCCAACTCCCTACGGTTCTTGTTGCTGCTTGGCACTTGAGAGGCTCCTACAGCTTGGCACTAGTGGCTGTTGCTGTATGGTGCTTCAGTGGATGTTGCATACTGACCCTTGAGTGACAGCATCCTCATTATCTTGAGCTTAAAGACGCACTTAAAGATGAAACAAATACACGTATACCACCATAACACCCGCCAAAAGTAACAAAGCCATTATGTGTAGAAATATACAGAGGCATGTATACATATGATCACTCAAACTCGCATTATACACAAATACATTATAGCAATCACAAATACATATATAGATATTTGCGCACATATACATGCAGTATGATCACACACGCCGACAAACACAGTCTTGTACTGGTAAACACACGAGGACATAAACATAACACAGGCCTATGCATTTATAAAAATACACTTTACCACATAAAGGGCACATATTCACCCGATTAAGAAACACTTCATATCTTTTCGGACAAGCTTACACTTATATCATAAGATGTAAAATAAAACATCAAACCCATCTATCTCATGTTCTCCAAGGATACTCTTGCTTGATCTACAACGTTCAAGCATAACTTTAATAAAATACTTTTAATGCTAGACTAAACAGGATTTGGAATTCCCCAGTCCACGGAACCGGGTTAGATTCCCGTGCTTAGGCAAACAAATGGGCAATTTCTTTTACCTGATGCCTATGTTCACTGGGTACCTGGGAGTTAGCTGTTGCAGGCTGCATCCTGTGTGTGTGTGTACTCGCCCATTTGTGCCTGCAGGATCGAGCATTGACTCTTAGATCCCTTCTAGCCACCGGTTGTTTAAAGTGTTGTTGGAAAGTGGTTTTTAAACACTTTCTTGCCACCGACTAGTGGGTGTACACTCGGCTATTTGTGCCTTCAAGAGTGCACATTGGCAATGTAATGTACTTTCCCAGCTGCCGGTTGTGTAAGGCAGAGACTCCTGACCTATTACCCAATCATGTACACTTTTACAATTATGAATGGAATTTATTTATATAACCTGTTTAATTCATTTCCCCATTGCTGTTATGCTAAAAGAAAACTTTAACATCTCTGACTCATGCTAGTAGCTTCGAGCTTCCATCCCTGTCCTCTTGTTCTATTGTATTAATTGATTCTTAATATTTCCTCCTCCTCTACAGTCAATTCCTCCCAAGTATTCTATACATCTCTTATCATGTCTTCCCCTTCTCTCCTCTTTTCTAGTGCAGTTAGGTTTAGTTTCTTGAGTCTCTCTTCATAGCCCATCCCTTCGCACATGTCCTGTGCCAGGGGAGTACGACGGGCTCGCCATAGCCCGTGCTGCTTGGAACTTTTTCTTCAGAGTAGCTGAATCCAAAACAACAATAAACTGCCCATCCCTTGTTTAGGGATGAGCTTTCTTGCAAACTTCTGAATCTTTTAGTCTCTCCTTATGTGTGTTTTAGATGGGGGCTCCACGATGGGGTGGAATACTTAAAAATTGGTCTTGTGTAGATGTACAGGAATTGAAAATCCTTTTTATTTAGGTTCTTGAATGATGTTCTGACTTTTACTAGTACCTGTATAGAGTATGTTGCTGATGTTATCCTATTTATATGAGCCTCTGGATTTAGATTTGGTATTCACTCCCAAGTCCTTTTAGGCAGGTAGTTTCCCCTTCATTGTATACCGTTCTTTTGGTCTTGTGCCTTTTATAACCATTTCCATCACCTTAAACTTACTGGTGCTGAACTCTAGTAGCCATTTCTCAGACCAACTTTACAGCTTGTGTAAATCATCTTGGGGAAAACCTTACCATACTCATCTGTTATAATTCTTCTCATTAGTTTAACATTCTCCGTAAATATCGACATAAGACTTGCCTCCTGTAGATAGGTCATTTACATGAGAAATAGTATGGGTCCCATCACAAGTGCTCAAAATACTCCGCTTTTTATTCTATACTAGACAGACGTCCTGCCCCTCACTGTTTCTGTCTGACTCCTGTTAGGTAATTCTGAGGTTTGTGTGTGTGTGTGTGGAGGGGGGTGGGGGTGAAAATATATATATATATATATATATATATATATATATATATATATATATATATATATATATATATATATATATATATATATATATATATATATATATATGTCGTACCTAGTAGCCAGAACGCACTTCTCAGCCTACTATGCAAGGCCCGACTTGCCTAATAAGCCAAGTTTTCCTGAATTAATTGTTTTTCGGCTACCTAACCTACCTAACCTAACCTAACCTAACTTTTTCGGCTACCTAACCTAACCTAACCTATAAAGATAGGTTAGGTGAGGTTAGGTAGGGTTGGTTAGGTTCGGTCATATATCTATGTTAATTTTAACTCCAATAAAAAAAATTGACCTCCTACATAATGAAATGGGTAGCTTTATCATTTCCTAAGAAAAAAATTAGAGAAAATTAATTAATTCAGGAAAACTTGGCTTATTAGGCAAATCGGGCCTTGCATAGTAGGCTGAGAAGTGCGTTCTGGCTACTAGGTACGATATATATATATATATATATATATATATATATATATATATATATATATATATATATATATATATATATATATTAGATATAAAAGTATGGTGCGAGTCAATACATAGACAACCGATGGTTAGAAAGGCTGGGTCCAATAGCTAACTGTACAATCCTACAGGCACAATAGCAAATCATCAACGATTGAGCAGCGCACTCTTGGCTCGTGCACTTTTCTATCTGCAAATTTCATTATACTGTATGTATATATACAGCATACACACACACACACACACACACACACAGATTATAATGAGCTTACATTTCAGAGTTTCTGTGTTACATTTATGTTACAAAGCACAACCCTCAGTTTGCCAGCACACACCCAAGGTCCACGAGTATTAATAAGGGCCATGGACGTATTCCTCCCACTCCTACGAAGCCTCCAGGCATCAGTCTCCTCCAGCGATCTTTGTATGGTATATCTGCTAGAAATAATGATATCATTCTCTTGAGGCAGTATCATTCGTCAGAGCAGCAGGCGAACATCGGTGTATACTGTTTCTTCTTGTTCTTCTCTCCCATTCTCTCGTTGTTCTTCTCTTATCCAAGTCTTCGTTGTCGTCCCTACGGTCCACACCGAGCCTGGAATGTGAAGAACACAGGTAAATACAAATTATAATATACTTCTAACAATAATAATTTTATTGAAGATGATGTCTGATAGTTCAAAATGGAAATTAATAAGCTTAGAGTAATTATTATTTAATATTTGTGAAGATGAGACCTTCACTGCTACAGGTAACTGTGCAACAATACCCACACTGTTTCAAGGTAACTGTGCAACAATACCCACACTGCTACAGGTAACTGTGCAACAATACCCACACTGTTTCAAGGTAACTGTGCAACAATACCCACACTGCTACAGGGAACTGTGCAACAATACCCACACTGTTTCAAGGTAACTGTGCAACAATACCCACACTGCTACAGGTAACTGTGCAACAATACCCACACTGTTTCAAGGTAACTGTGCAACAATACCCACACTGCTACAGGGAACTGTGCAACAATACCCACACTGTTTCAAGGTAACTGTGCAACAATACCCCACACTACTATAGGTTAACAGCAACAAGAATGCAGTTCCAGCTTGAAACAGCTAAAAGTAATCAACATACGTCATGTTAACATAACAACACGAAGAATTATAAGGTTTACTCAGTTGGAGTAAAAATACACGTCGACTGCAGTGACATACCCTGGTATGGTTGACAGGACCATGACCATACCAAGTATGCACTTTTAGACAGGAACATGAAAGGTATATACATTTTACAGGACGATATCAGCTACATACCATGGACCATGCCTATGTACGTAGGGTTACGCCATCTTCTATTGGACAAATTCGTAGATCTTCTGAGAAGTCCTCATTAGTCGATGTTTTGGGTTATATGTCTATGAACTATGCCATCTTAAGTGCATGGATTTCATCACACAGTTCTTGAGTCACTCTCTTGTTCTCGCTTCGATCTTGTTCCTGGTTCCATGATTACTACTTTTCCTTTAAAATATGTAAAAAACATATTCGTAAGTCTGCCTGCGAATCTGTCGTCTCTGCCTTCAGACGTCGATGAACGGAATGAAACTAGACTTTGCATAGTTTCTCATTTGAACTAGGACGGCCATAGGCTAAATGATGCTCCGGCTCCTAGAACCTGTCCCGAGTGAAGACAAAAAAAACGGCCCGGGCAGGTCCGTGGGTATGTACCATGCCAACCCAACGTGTAAGGCTGCATTGGGAAACTAGGAGTGTCGGCCACAGCATTGCTGAATTTATAATTCTGAAGAACGGTACAGACGAGGCTCCAGTTCTTCACTCGAGCAACAACGGCTGCTTCAGCTACTCATCAAGTATTCATCGCAAAACATATTACTTCAATGGAGAACTTTATCATGACCGTATGTACTTTTTTTGTCAATCTCTGACAAACTCATCCCGTCTTTTCAAGAAATGTTGAAACAAAGTGAATAAATATAAACTAGCTCCTAAGACTGAGTTACACAGAAATCACAATAGCGAGATGCATCAAATGAACAAATCCACAAGGGCCGTGATGAGGGTTCGAACCTACGTCCGACAGGATCCCAGACGCGCCTTAATCGACTGTGCTACGACATGGTTAAAAGAATTGCAACCGGGAGTTCAGCTGACCTCACACGGATCCTGCAGTCTCTCCGAGACAAAAACCAGGGTTTTACACAATTCCCCCCATGCACCCGAACTCTGTCAATAAGAGCGAAGAGGTAGAATAGCTTATTGACAGAGCTCGGGTGCATGGGGGGAATTGTGTAACACCCTGGTATGTGTTTGCAGGATCCGTGTGAGGTCAGTTGAACTCCCGGTTGCAATTCTTTTAACCATGTCGTAGCACAGTTGATTAAGGCGTGTCTGGGATCCTATCGGACGTAGGTTCGAACCCTCATCACGGCCCTTGTGGATTTGTTCCTAAGACTGACATTACGATCATTCGAGGCTTAATTAGTATGGAAAATATACTGCCTCCACACCCCTGTATTACAAGTAAAGTAACATAATAATAATAATAAAACCCGACCCCGAGCACAACTGGGTGACTGCTCGCATCAGTTGCCATACTGTGTGGTGCTCTCGTGTGATGGTGCTCCAGTGCCACAGGCCTCCAGGCTTCAGTGCCAGTTATTACTTTAAAGACGATCCCAGATCTTACTCGTAACTTGTGTATCAGTTATGTTAAAATAAAGCAGTAATTAACACATTAAAAACAATGGATACCATCAAGACAAATATATGTACTACAAAAGTAGGCTACAAGCTTCATGAACTTGTCCTGCCAGAGACTTGCAGCCAAAGTACCTAACTCTTTGACAAACAATAAAGCCACACGCCAGGAACCTAAACCCTCCCACGGGACGCTCCGTGGAGCAGCATCCGGCACAGCAAGCGACCCACAGACCAGTGTGTGTAATCAAGGTATAGGCACACAAATATCAACCCCGGTGTAAACAGCTCGCATGATGCTAGCCGGGGAGCCAGCTGGGGGGCCAGGGGTAAAACTCGCGCCGGTCGTCGTAGGGACAAACCTTAGTCTATTTGCAAAGCAGATCTCGGGATACCGCGCTCTTGTGCTCAATTCCCCCCCACCCTCCTGCCCCCCCCTCGTCGTTCCCAGCACCCTTCACCCAGGGTGTGTAGGACGTGGGGGAGGGTTTAGGGTGCGGTGGAAGAGGCGAGCGGGTGCGGTGGTAGTGAGGAAAGCAGTGGAGGAACTTGTGAACATGGAGGGGGGGGGGGATTATCTTGAGGTTATCTTGAGATGATTTCGGGGCTTTAGTGTCCCCGCGGCCCGGTCCTCGACCAGGCCTCCACCCCCAGGAAGCAGCCCGTGACAGCTGACTAACACCCAGGTACCTATTTTACTGCTAGGTAACAGGGGCATAGGGTGAAAGGAACTCTGCCCATTGTTTCTCGCCGGCACCCGGGACCACAGGATCACAAATCCAGTGTGCTGTCCGCTCGGCCGACCGGCTGCCCTAAGGAAGTCAGAGGGGGGGGGGGGGGTAAGGAATTATTATAAAGGGGAATGAGATGGAGGAGGGGGGGGGGGTTGTGAAGATAGAAAATTGGGAAGATTGGGAGTAATGAGGCAAACAGGAGCATATTTTAATCCCCCTCACTCGCGCCAATCATATCTTCAATGGATTTGAACACACTTGTCAATCATATGCACAATAAAATAACTTACTGAAGCTACAAATGCAGTAAGAAATGCAGAATAGACCCACTGAAGAGTAGAGGTGCCATAGCACTAAAAATACAGTATTAAATCACTGGTGCTGTCCCGCCTTGAGTGCTGCTCGGTACTCACTTCCCCTTTCAGAGCAGGAGAGATGCCTGAAACAGAGGGAATAGAGAGAACATATGTAACCCTTTCCATCATCGCCCACGGGATGGGTATGTGGTGTATAATAAATGACTAATGCATAGACATCATAAAGCACCTAAATTATTGGGACCATCTGAAAGCTCACAAAAAGTACTCTCTGGGATGGAGAAGAGAGAGAGATCAAATAATATGTGCATGGAAGATACTGGAGAGCCAGGTCCCAAGTTTGCACAGTAAAATAACAACACAGTGTAGCGAATAATATGGAAGGAAATGCAGAATAGAACCAGTGAGGCGTGGAGGTACTAGAGGCACAGTTAGATACCACTATATGAACATAAGAGGTCCAAGGAATTCAATATCCTTCCAGCAAGAAATATGTCCGGAAGGAATGTGCATTTCTTCAAGAAACAATAAGACGTATTTCTGCAAGAGGTGTTGGACCACTCAGGTTGTACATTTGAGGCTCGTGTTTTCCTCAATAGTGACTGATTTGATGAAAATTATCTATGATCTCTTGCCAGGGGCGAATGCCGTCGGATGTTTGTTAAATAGCCTTCGGCTACAAACACTTTTGTACGGTCTGTTCATGGTGGCGTGGTCACAGTACTGGATATGTTAGTGCGTTTGGAGCACCAGACTATCTAAGTTTCGAATCTTTCACAAGGAAGAATTTTTTTGTTACATTGGCTTGTGGTTTATGCAAGTTTATTCGTATATATATAGGCCCACGAGTGGGCCTCTCGTGCAGGTCCATCACCTCAACCACCATCCCCAAAAGCCCACAAGCAATCCAGCTGGGATGGCCCCATTGTAGACCAAGTTGCTGCAGAGTGCCTGGGTGCTGCAACAACACAACACGACATTGCTCGCCTCACAGCAGTAACAGCACCACATGCAGGGGATTTCCTGTTAACAACCCCAATGTCGGCAACTGGCACACATCTCGCACCACACGCTCTCCGAATTGCTGTGGCCCTCCGCTTTGTTGCCCCAATCCACACCAGATATAGGTGTATTTGCGGCGAGGTGGTGGCTGACAGGTACGGTCACCATGGCCTACTCTGCCAAAGCACAGGGGGATGGCACTCGAGGCACAGTGAAGTTAACGACATCATTAAGAGGAGTCTCACCACAGCTGGATGCCCAGCTGAAAGAGAGCCCCGTTACCTAACGCCTCGTAACTCTGATGCTCTTATCGGTCGCCCAGATGGTATCACAGTGAACCCCTGGAAGAACGGCAAGCAGTTGTATGGGACTACACGTACGTATCAACCCTGGCTAACACCGACATTGACCTCAGTGTTGCACAACCAGGTGGCGCTGCCACCCACAGAGAATCAGCCAAATCCCGTAAGTACAGAGAACTGGATCACCACTACAGCTTTGTCTCCATTGCTTCTGAGACACTCGGCGCCTGGGGTAAAAGTGCTACCAGTTTTTTTAAGGAACTGGGTACTAGGCTCATTGAAACAACAAGGGACCCTAGAGCTGCCAGCTTCCTTTTCCAGCGCCTCAGCGTGGCGATACAGAGGGGAAATGCACACTGCATCCAGGGTTCCTGCCCGCCATCTGAGGAGCTGGAGGAACTCGACAATTTATGATAATCATCTTTGTACCCTTTATGTAACTCCCTTTTTGTAATAAAGTTTAAATAAAACAAATATATATGTGTATACACAAAAGAATGGGGGTGGTAGGAGAAGATAATATTAGTGTTCAGTGAGAATCCACAAGGTCTCCTCTGAATACTCCTTATTTTCTTCTCCGAGGCTATGGGTCCCCACATTTGCACCAGAGGTGGTACCCTCACAAACTTAAAATATATAAATATATATATATGTAGGATATATATATATATATATATATATATATATATATATATATATATATATATATATATATATATATGTCGTACCTAGTAGCCAGAACTCACTTCTCAGCCTACTATGCAAGGCCCGATTTGCCTAATAAGCCAAGTTTTCCTGAATTAATATATTTTCTCTTAATTTTTTTCTTATGAAATGATAAAGCTACCCATTTCATTATGTATGAGGTCAATTTGTTTTTATTGGAGTTAAAATTAACGTAGATATATGACCGAACCTAACCAACCCTACCTAACCTAACCTAACCTATCTTTATAGGTTAGGTTAGGTTAGGTAGCCGAAAACGTTAGGTTAGGTTAGGTTAGGTAGGTTAGGTTGTCGAAAAAACATTAATTCATGAAAACTAGGCTTATTAGGCAAATCGGGCCTTGCATAGTAGGCTGAAATGTGAGTTCTGGCTACTAGGTACGACATATATATATATATATATATATATATATATATATATATATATATATATATATATATATATATATATATATATGTCGTACCTAGTAGCCAGAACTCACTTTTTGGCCTAATATTCAAGGCCTGATTTGCCTAATAAGCCAAGTTTTCCTGAATTAATATATTTTTTCTAATTTTTTTCTTATGAAATGATAAAGCTACCCATTTCATTATGTATGAGGTCAATTTTTTTTTATTGGAGTTAAAATTAACGTAGATATATGACCGAACCTAACCAACCCTACCTAACCTAACCTAACCTATCTTTATAGGTTAGGTTTGGTTAGGTAGCCGAAAAAGTTAGGTTAGGTTAGGTTAGGTAGGTTAGGTAGTCGAAAAACAATTAATTCATGAAAACTTGGCTTATTAGGCAAATCCGGCCTTGAATAGTAGGCCAAAAAGTGAGTTCTGGCTACTAGGTACGACATATATATATATATATATATATATATATATACGATGGACTGCATATACGATGGACTGCATATATATATATATATATATATATATATATATATATATATATATATATATATATATATATATATATATATCCTACAACAGCCTTAAGTTAAATGAGAATGACACTCTTTTTGAGGTCCATGCCGAAGAAAGTCCTGCCGTCGGACGACTCTCAATGGGAGCAAGCAACCGTCTCTGTAAGACTCGGCGGCCTTGGTGTCCGGACAGTCTCCCAGATTGCTTTACCAGCCTTCCTTTCCTCCCATGTATCGCACGACCTCGTAAGATATATCCTACCAGAACTTCTGAGTGATTCAACAGGAATTCACGATCTTGCTTTCACCGAATGTTCAAATCAGTGGGATGCTCTTACAGCCCTATCACTCATCAGAGATCCAATAAAAAAAAAAACACAGTCTAGCTGGGACCACCCACTGGTGGAAAAAACGCCTGATGCCATGCTCAGCTGGGGCGCCATGAAGCGCCTGACAGCTGAGAGGACAGCGCTTCAGATTCGTAGTCCCGAGGTTCGGGGTTCGATCCCCGGTGGATGCGGAGACAAATGGACAAAATGTTTTTCATCCTGATGCCCCTGTTACCTAACAGTAAATAGGTACCTGGGAGTTAGACAGCTGCTTCCTGGGGTGTGTGTGACACAAAGGAAGCCTGGTCGAGGACCGGGCCGCGAGGACGCTAAGCCCCGAAATTATCTCAAGATAACCTCAAGATAACCGTTGCAACATCAGATAAGGAGAAAGCCCGCCTCAGAGCAGTGCATGCCTCCCATGCAGGGGACTTCCTTTTGGCAGTACCCATGGCAGTAGTGTTGGCAACAGGCATGCACCTAGGTCCAGAATCCCTTCGTGTAGCAGTGGCTCTCCGCCTTGGTGCTCCAATTCACACTGAATACAAGTGTATTTGCAACAGGGTGGAAGCTGACCAATATGGACTGCATGGGTTACATTGCGGAAGCACAAAGGGCTGCCATGTAAGACAATATGAGGTTAACGGCATCATCAAGAGGAGCCTTGCCTCACCTCAGTGCCCATGGGGGAAATATGTAAAGAGGAAATGGAAGGTTTTCGTTTCAAGAGCGAAGGTTAGAAAGTGAAACTGAAGCAAATGCACCCAGGGACATGGGAAAGACGGCTCCTCCCAGCGATATGGGGGAGAGGGCTCCTCCCAGCGACATGGGAGAGAGGGCTCCTCCCAGCAACAGGGGGGGTGGGGGACAATACGTGTCCCAAATGTATGGGTGTCTAGACACACCTTCCCCCTCCACCCTCCATTACCCGTGCCGCCGCCTGCATCTGCTGTCTCGGCGGTGGACCAGACGCCACCAGCTAACAACACCTCTCGATCGTTTAACTGCCGGCTGCTTGTTAAAACTCCAGAATTCGCGCCAACTATGATATCATGCCCTAATATATATAAGGGCTTGCCAAACGTCTAACTCAACAGTTCACCCTTCGAGTGCTCATAGCTGTAACATCTACTCTCGTCTCCGGATGACGGTAGACGCACATAGCTATTTTGTATAGGTATTGCCTTCACCTTTGTTATTAACGTAAATTTCACATGTATATATTTCTCTTTTGATTGTGTGTGTAAGCCAAGTGGATAGGGGGTTTTGTTTTCATTAATTTTTACTTGTCATTTTGTGTAAAATTAATCCTTTTTTGATTATATTAAATGTTTGAAGTTTTTATTCTCTTTGGTTTTTACCCTCAGCTCTCACAGTAGAGGACCCAAGCAGTCTTGTTTACTTTGTTTTCTTCTTCTTTTTTATTAATTAATGTGCGATGGGCACAACACCTGTCCGAATAGCCACTACTCTATTCCAGATTCTCGTCACACACTATATATTATATATATATATAATAATTATATATATATATATATATATATATATATATATATATATATATATATATATATATATATATATATATATATATATATATAAAATTCCGTGTATTATGATGAAATGCAATGGAATTTCCTTTTTAAAATAGTAAAAAGTCTTAAGGCGGCCGGAGCCTCGTAGTCCTCCACCCCTACCTGCTAGGTCTCCTCGTGGATCTGATCAGTGACTTCTTCCATCGTCGCTGACTCCATCCTGAGAAAGGGCGACTTCGTTAGATGGTTGTCGTTGATCTGAGCCGCTGATATGCCCCTCCCGGAGCCTTCCTTGCCGCAGGAGCCGTCCCTCTGCGGCCCGTGTACCAGCAGGGACACGCTCTCCACCGTCGGCTGCTTCGTCGAGACTGTGCTGGCTGGCTTACCAGGCCGTCGTAGCGGACACGAAGTCTGGAAACGGGAAGTGAAAGGGCCACTAACGTTGGCGTCATATACATTTGTAGGATAGGGGAGAGTGGACAAGATGTGAGATAGGTGTATGAGTTCAGTGTATGTTCTACAGGTTGGACTAAGACTAGTGTTTCTGTTGTGCTGGAAAAATTAACATAAACATGTGAAAGATATAGTTCTGAATACAACCTCATGTTCACTTTTGTTAAATGTGTTGTAGTTGCTTTTAATTCGTTAGAATTTGTTTGTTATCAGCGATCTGAAAGTCAGAACTAATGTCAATTTGTGTGAATTTGGTCTTCTTGATACCTATCAAAATGAATATTATTTTATATATCCATGGTCCCAGTTTGGATGTGAACTATGGGACCTGCAAAAAGTTGATCTTATTAAAATAAATTGTCAATACAGGAGTCCATCCTTCATATTAACGCAATCTCCTGCCTGACCTCACCTGTCCACATCTTCACACACACACAAAAATACACAAATGAAGGATATTCTATTGTCTGGAGGGAATCACCAACCCAGTAAACACGACAAGCTTTTTTCCTCGAGGATTCGCTTATCGCTGGCCATTCAAACATTTTAAGACAATCAACCTAAGAAAGAGTGACGTGTATAACGGTGTAGCCGGTCTAGAGGACGGAATAAAACAAACAATCAGCAGTTGTTACGGACACAGCACCGCTCCTGTGCCGGGTAAGCCCACTACGTGCTCACCATAGCCCGTGCTACTTGGAACTTGTTCCGAGTAGCTGAATCTATAACATTAACAACAAGATTCACGAAGAAGTTACGCAAGCACTTACGAACCTATACATCTTTCCTCAATCTTTGACGGCTTTGGTTACATTTATTAAACAGTTTACAAGCATAAAAAACTTTCCAATCATCTGTTGTTATTGCTATAAACATCCTCCTGGTGCTTCGGAGCTCATTAGCTGTTAAATAATTGTAAACAAAGCCGCCAAAGATTGAGAAAAGATATACAGATTCGTTAGTGCTTGCGTAACTACTTCGTGAATCTGGCCCCTGGTCTATATTATTTCCATGCTTACATATGATACGTGATAACACCAGATAATATTGTTGTGCAGACAAGTTCCATTCCTTGTCCTATAAGTAACTAATGAATGGATGGTGCAGGAACCTTCTATCTGTCCACTATTCTAGCACTCTTGCTTTCTACTATCCTCCATTGATCTCATTCTCTCCCTCTCATTCTAAACTTTCTCTTTCCCCTGACCACTTTACCTCACTAGACTCTTCCACCTCTCTACTTCGATCCCTCACTCTATGACTTTTATTCTTCTTTTCCTTCCCTTCAGTTTCCGCTCCGTTACAACAGTGGTCAGTGTTAGGCTATAATTAGGCCTTATCCTTGTATTAAGGAGTAATGTACTTTGTAAGTTAGATTATTCTACTTAAAAGTTATACAAAATAACTTATAGGCTATTATTAATATTTTTTTGAATAAACAATCACTGATTTGATTGATCACTAATACTGAATCAATATGTCATTGTTGAATTTGAATTCTAACATGCTTTACGAAGGCATCTCTAAAAGCGTTGTTGTTGTTGCGAAAGCCCAGGTGATGACAGCTGTTGTTATAGACTCAGCTACTCGGAACAAAACGTTCCAAGTAGCACGGGCTATGGTGAGCCCGTAATGGACTTATCAAACACAGGAAGGGAAGGAAACTATAAGGGAAAAAGCGCCAAGCCATTACGACTATATATATATAACACTTGGAAGGAGGGTCAAGAAAAGGATTTGGGATGGGACAGGAAGGGGAAGGGGGAATGGTGCCAGACCACTTGGACGGTCGGGGATTGAACACCGACCTGCATGAAGCGAGACCGTCGCTCTACCGTCCAGCCCAAGTGGTTTTTACCTAGCACAGGAGCGGGACTGTAACTGTAATGGTAGCGTACCAACCTTCCTTAGTAGTATAGGAATGGCCTGCATCATCTCCTTGCGCAGGTTGGTGTTGAGCCAACCGTACAGGATGGGATTGATGCAGGCCGAGCTCATAGCGACGGCGTGACAGGACCCGAAAACCACGTAGAAGTATCCGGGTTCCTGGAAGCCGGCGTAGTTGAAGTCGGCGAGGAGATTGACGACGTGCCAGGGCAGCCAGCAGATGGCGAAGGTGACAGCGATAGAGGTAAGAAGAATGGTGGTCCGTCTGTTGCGCTCTATTTCCCGCTGGGCTCGTCGGGCGTCGCGCTGGGACATCTTGTGGCTGCTGAGGTAGTTCTGGATCCTCCCGTGCACGAAGCTCAGCACCAAGATGGGGATGATGTACTGCATGACGATGAGCGTGATATTCCACGTGTACTTCACGACCGGCGACGACCACGACTCCATACACTTCTCGTACAGGAGGTAATCCTTGATCTGCACCCTCTTCACGAAGTAGTAGGCGAAGAGTGGCAGGGGAAACACTAAAGACACAAGCCAAATGACCGCTATGGACCACGGTATGTACGCCCGAGCGTCTTTGTTTCTCTTCACGCAGACTATCGTTAAATAACGATCAGCGGCGATAGCCACGATAGTCGCTGTAGACACTAATATATTGGTACACTGCAACACTGGCACTAACTTGCAGATAAAGTTGCCCAAACTCCAGTTTTTGTGAAGGAGTCCAACAAGCGTAAACGGCATACATACGAGGCACATGCTGACGTCAGACACAGTGAGGTTGACAATGTATACGTTGCGAGCCGTCCTGAGCTCCGAACGGCGGCCAATGACGAAGGCGACGATCAGGTTGCCCAGGATACCAACAATAATGAGGAGGGAGTAGATGGTGATGAGGGTGACCTTGGCGGCCGTGCCCAGGTAACTCTTCTGGTTGGTCTCCTGCAGGATATCTATGATCTCCTGCCAGTGGAGGGTCTGGTTAGCCCCAGCAGGAAGCACCGAGCTCATCAGAAATGACTCCAACTGGCCAGTGAAAGGATTGACCTCGTCCCCGGCGATGCCGGAGTTACCGTGTCCCTCAAGAGCCTTAAACTCGTCAGGCTCCAGCGGGCACATCACGCCAGCACACAGCTCGGGCTCTGAGGTCTGGGTGATGTTTTCCATGACAGAACAGCGCGAAACGGCCCGGATAGTTACAGTCTTAGGGAATAGAACAATGCTCTGTCAATCATGTTAATTATTATCTGATTTGGTGGCAGTTACTGTCACTAGGCCTAAATTCTTTTGCATGAATATTACACAATATTGTAGGACAATCTGGCAACCTATGCTTCGCCCGACAGAAACTCTGCCGCGGGAAGAGCAGTGTTAGTGGCGAGGAGCGACGCATTAGACCAAGCTCCCATACAGAGGTAAAGGACAACCGCCAGGAGCACCTCTCCCGCCAGGGATACTCACTGACCAGAGCAACATTGCTACAGAGCCCAAAGACCTCACACAAACTCGGCTCTTCAGTAATTTTTGGCAATGTTTCCTCAGTCCTTGTCATCCACTGCACATTACGTGGTCATCCCGCCGTTCAGCTTATGAATTCTTATTGGGGTCGTCATCCCACAGTCATCTTAGGGTCACTACTGAACTTGTTTAAGGTCTCTTGGCCTAAAACTGATACCTTAGCGATCTTGCATAACTCATCTAGGCTTCCGTCATTGTCACTGCGATAAGCACATAGTTTTTCATTTAACTATGATTTTCAAGGTCACGCGTCGTCCGCGGTCCTATACATAATAGTTGGAGTTTGGCTCAGTAATTAATATGCCTCTCATCTTTTACTTCTTGATCAGCAGCTGTTTGGTTGGTAGCGAGCATCTCCCCAGGTGAGGGAACAGCACACGACCTGAAATTGAAAGAGGATGTTACGACCCTGGGTTCCTCAAGTGGAAACCAGAGGTCAAGAGGATTTACAAAAGATTTTATAACCGTGAGTAAGGGACGTAAAATGTATATTATATGAATCAGACATACACACACACACATCTTATATAATATATATATACAACTGAAAACTCCACATCCCAGAAGGATTCGAACCCAGACAGCCAGGAGCACTATAAATATATATAATATATAAATATATTATATATATAATAATATTATATAATAATAATTATATAATATTCTATATAATGTATATATTATATATATTCCAGAGTTATGGGCACTGAACTTTGAAGAAAGAGGGAAGGAACTAAACTCATTACAAGGAAGGCAAGGAGGAAGAAGGGGGGACATGACAACAAGTACTCTGAAAGAAATTGACCAAGTATATAACACACAATCTTCAAAGTTAAGAACAACAGAACGAGGAGACTTTGTTGAAAACGGGAAGCACAAATGAGTCAGATGTCAGAAAGAGCTCTTCAACGTAAGAGTCATTACTAAATGGAATGGACTATTTAAAGTTGTCGACACTACCTAGAAACACAATTTTACATTCCACTCTGACTGTTCCAGGAATATAAACACACACACACACGCATGCATGCACGCACGCACACACACACAGAACTTTGTATAACACATATGTCAGATCAATCCAGCTTCAGCATGGAGTCCATTTCTAGTCAAGCATAAGACTAAACTGGAAGAGGTTCAACGGTTTGCCACCAGAGTAGTACCCGAACTGAGGGGTATGAGCTACGAGGAGAGGCTACGGGAATTAAACCTCACGTCGCTGGAAGACAGAAGAGTTAGAGGGGGACATGATCGTCACATACAAGATTCACAAAGGAATTGATAGGGTAGATGAAGGCAGACTATTTAAACTAAACGAGAGAGAGAGAGAGAGAGAGAGAGAGAGAGAGAGAGAGAGAGAGAGAGAGAGAGAGAGAGAGAGAGAGAGAGAGAGAGAGAGAGAGAGAGAGAGAGAGAGAGAGAGAGGTGGCCTTTGTGATCCTCGCCAACTCGGGGAGGGGGGAGTGAGAGGACGAGCTCACTCTCCTGGCTCAACTAGAGGAGGTAAGTACAGTGTAGCACAGATGCAACACAGGTGCCATAAAAGTGTAACACATCAATATCAAATCGGTGCCTGGAGGACGTGGTGGGTAGGTGACAGGACTACAACCAGAGGGGTGACGTCTCCTGGTGACAGGACTACAACCAGAGGGTGACGTCTCCTGGTGACAGGAATACAACCAGAGGGGTGACGTCTCCTGGTGACAGGAATACAACCAGAGGGGTGACGTCTCCTGGTGACAGGAATACAACCAGAGGGGTGACGTCTCCTGGTGACAGGAATACAACCAGAGGGGTGACGTCTCCTGGTGACAGGAATACAACCAGAGGGGTGACGTCTCCTGGTGACAGGAATACAACCAGAGGGGTGACGTCTCCTGGTGACAGGAATACAACCAGAGGAGTGACGTCTCCTGGTGACAGGACTACAACCAGAGGGGTGACGTCTCCTGGTGACAGGAATACAACCAGAGGGGTGACGTCTCCTGGTGACAGGAATACAACCAGACAGGACTACAACCAGAAGGGTGACGTCTCCTGGTGACAGGAATACAACCAGAGGGGTGACGTCTCCTGGTGACAGGACTACAACCAGAGGGGTGACGTCTCCTGGTGACAGGACTACAACCAGAGGGGTGACGTCTCCTGGTGACAGGAATACAACCAGAGGGGTGACGTCTCCTGGTGACAGGAATACAACCAGAGGGGTGACGTCTCCTGGTGACAGGAATACAACCAGAGGGGTGACGTCTCCTGGTGACAGGAATACAACCAGAGGGGTGACGTCTCGGAAGACAGAGGCTGAGGCCGTAATTGGACTAATTGGCCCCACCAACATTAATATCCCGCTGGAGGCCCTACGGAACAAACGCGGAAAATGTTGTCTGTTCTGCAGGAGATGTTAATCTCTGTGAATCTGTTGAACACCAGCTTTCAATAGTAGGTACGCATGCACGCACGCACACACACACACACACGCACACACAGGGGGGAAGAGGGGGGGATATGATAGGAACGTATAAAATAAACAAGGGAATTGACAGAGTGGAAATAGACGAAATGTTCACACGGAACAGTAACAGAACGAAGGGACATGGGTGGAAGCTGGAAACTTAGATGAGTCACAGAGATGTTAGGAAGTTTTCTTTTGGCGTGAGAGTAGTGGACAAATGTGATGCCCAAGATTACCAACCGAGTGCCGGCGGGGGGATGGAAATAGCCTCGGCTACCATCCTCTTTTGTTCGGTCGTGTTGGTCGAGTGGTTAAGGGATCCTGTAAGCCAGCAGATTGCTCCTGGCAGTATGGGTTCGAGTCACTTCTGGGGTGTGAGTTTTCAGTTGCATATAGTCCTGGGGACCATTCAGGCTTGTTCGCATATATATATATATTATATATATATATATATATATATATATATATATATATATATATATATATATATATATATATGCAACAATGATCACAAAAACACTGATCCAAGTATGCAGAATAACCACATATGAAAAATAGAAAATGCTTAACGCGTTTTCGGCTAATTCGCCTTCATTAGCTAATTCGCTATTCTACTTTGCTCTGATGAAGGCGAATTAGCCGAAAACGCGTTAAGCATTTTCTATTTTTCATATGTGGTTATTCTGCATATATATATATATATATATATATATATATATATATATATATATATATATATATATATATATATATATATATAAAACAATTAACGATCACAAAACACTGATCATTTTTATGCGGAAAATCCACAGAGAAATGTGAAAGGCCGAAACGTTCACTTCCTTTCACATTTCTCTGTGGATTTTATGCATATATGTATATATAACTTTAATTGTGTAACTAGCTTCACAAGATTGTCACTTACTTCGCTAAATAAACTATCGGGGTTCAGGTACCTCTGTAACCCTTTCCACCACCGCCCACAGGATGGGTATGAGGTGCATAATAAAGAAAGAAATTGGTGACGAGGACAACAGTGTGGTGCTCGTCCGAGGCTCGCCTCATTTACTGGAGGTGGGCAGCGGGGCGTGATGCTCAATTAGGCGCGCGAGAAGGGTAACGAGTGCCGCATGCAGAACACTGCCCTCAGTGTCCTCAGGGACGGGTCCAGTGTCCTCACTCCCCTCTCTCAGGGGAGGGTCCAGTGACCTCACTCCCCTCTCTCAGGGACGGGTTCAGTGACCTCACTCCCCTCTCTCTCAGGGACGGGTCCAGTGTCCTCACTCCCCTCTCTCAGGGCAACCCGTTCTCGCAAATTTAATAAGTCAATATTGACTTATTAAATATGTGCATAGGTGACATACTTAACATAATAGATACCCTTAAAAAGATTCATAGAAAACACCGACCTTACCTAACCTTGTTAGTATCTTAAGATAAGCATCTTATTGCTTCGTAATTACAATTATTACCTAACCTATACCTATTATAGGTTAAGTAATAATTGTAATTACGAAGCAATAAGATGCTTATCTTAAAATACTAACAAGGTTAGGTAAGGTCGGTGTTTTCTACGAATCTTTTTAAGGGTATCTATTATGTTTAGATATCACCTATGCACGTAGTTAATAAGTCAATATTGACTTTACGAATTTGCGAGAACGGGTTGCTCAGGGGAGGGTCCAGTGACCTCACTCCCCTCTCTCAGGGACGGGTCCAGTGACCTCACTCCCCTCTCTCTCAGGGACGGGTCCAGTGACCTTACTCCCCTCTCTTAGGGGAGGATCCAGTGACCTCACTCCCCTCTCTCAGGGACGGGTCCAGTGACCTCACTCCCCTCCCTCTCAGGGAAGGGTCCGCCCAACCATCTGGGCTGGACGGTAGAGCGACGGACCCGCTTCATGCGGGTCGGCATTCAATCCCCGACCCTCCAAGTGGTTGGGCACCATTCTTTTTCCCTGTCCCATCCCAAATCCTTATCCTGATCCCTTCCCAGTGCTATATAGTCGTAACGGCTTACAACTATATATATATATAGAAAGCGCTAACGGCTTAGCGCTTTCTCCCGATACCTGCAACACAGGCGCCACCAACACACAGGTGCTGACCTGCAACACAGGCGCCACCAACACACAGGTGCTGACCTGCAACACAGGCGCCACCAACACACAGGTGCTGACCTGCAACACAGGCGCCACCAACACACAGGTGCTGACCTGCAACACAGGCGCCACCAACACACAGGTGCTGACCTGCAACAGAGGCGCCACCAACACACAGGTGCTGACCTGCAACATGTGCTCACTACAGACGACGTTGTACATATCAGGCGGGAACCCAAGGAGCCCCCCCCCCCCCCGCCTGAACCCTCGGGACCCAAAACAGGGCCGGGGAGCAAGCCGACCCAGCTTCGGTCTCCTCCCAGAAATCCAACTTAGCTTAGTTTCCGTCCACTCAGCGACACGCATAAATGGAACAGAAAATAGTGTACTGTATTTGTCTATTATATATTTTCCAATCCGCTTGTTTGGCAACCCCTTGTGGCTATCATGAGCCAATAATCAATTACGCCGGTTGGCAACATATCATAAATATCTGATTTATTTCAATTCAGTATTACTGAATATACATTTTTAACACTCTAATTAGCTCTGGCAACAGAACGCGCGATATCAATTATTTTCGTGACTGATATCTTGTCAATATTCATGGAGAAAGTCGTTTACATTGTCGTCATTGTCATATCATATGGGGGTTATTGTCAACGATATTTGGGAATGGATTTTGTAGTGGGCAATCTCCTCCCACACTGGCCACAGTGCAGGAATACTGTACAACATGACCCATCAACATGCTGCAACGGTACATAACGCATGGACACTCGTGTATCATGCTAGTATACTATAGACACCCCACACTCGTGTATC